GTGCAGTCCCAAATAGAATCTCATATGGGGACAATGAGGTAGTATTTTTGTACAAGAGCATTCATTAGATCTTTTGATAAATGTGCAGGTCTGTGTGCCCATTGTACGACTGCTGGGTACAAATTCTTAGGGAGGCAGAAATTGAGATTGTTGGAGTACACTCCATCCTTCAGAACTGCCCCTTTCTGTTTCCACTTCTGTATTTCTTCAGGGGCAACTGTAGCCTGTTGTTCCAGCAGGATTTTCAGGTCAGTTGGAAGAGTCTGCAGAGTAAATATGGGAGTTTCTTCATTTCCGGACACTCTTCTTTCCACTTCCTGTGGTTCTTTTGCAGCTTGTTTTGCAGCCTGATCAGCTAGATGGTTGCCCCTTGCTTCATCTGAGTCCAACTTCCCATGTGCTTTATCTTCAAAATAGCCACTTCTTCTGGGAGTAGGAGGGCGTCCATCAGCTCCTTGATTGCGGAACCGTGCTTGATTGGTGTACCGGCGGTGGTAAGAAATCCTCTTGTTTTCCAAATTAATCCGAAGTCGTGAGCCACGCCCAGTGCATATCTTGAATCCGTGTAGATATTGGCGCGCTTTCCTTCAGAGATCTTGCATGCTGAAGTCAGGGCTTGCAATTCAGCTTCTTGTGCAGACATAGTTGATGGTAAAGATGATGATTTGACAATTTCATCTGTTGTGGTTACGGCATATCCTGTATGGTATCTTCCTTCTTCATCAGCATATCTTGAGCCGTCCACAAACAGGGTGAGATCGGGATCTACCAATGGGTCTTCATGCACAGTTGGTAGATGTGTTGTTTCCATTTTCATCTGTTCAAAACAGTCATGAGGTGTATCTGGGTCGTAGTCATTCACTATGGTTAAATCTTGGAACTCATTCTCCAGGAAATGACGCTGCCATGCTTTTAGGTGGTCAGTTGTTGGATATTTGACAACACCATTTTCCTGTAGCTGTGATTCGTCCATAGTGGCCCATGCTTTTGCCTTAGGCCCAAGATCATTCCATGATATTGTTTTCAACTTGGTCACAGGGACATGTGGAATGGCAGTGTCCCAATGACGGTACAAATGCTTGAGTTCCGGAGGTAGATGAATCAAGACCATACTGTTGCCTTCAGAATCACAGTAGAAGTCTTGTGCAGTGAGTTTTACTTCGACCAGATTATAGAGTTCATCTTCATAGCAGGGTTCAGGAGTGATGTTTGATTTGTACCACATGGTACAGAAGGCATATCCTGCTCCGTCATGAAGGAGTGCTTGTCCATCATGAAAGGATAGGTTGGGATGCATTTCCTTCTTGATGGTGCCAGTGAGAAGAAAAACATAAGTTTCGTCCATGATGAATCCGTAGTATACACCCCCCTCAGGGAGTGGCAGAAGAGTGGACGGATTGAGAACTTGACATCTTTGAAGGGTAATGTTGTCAGGCAACAAAAGATGACATTGAAGGCGAAGATGCCTAGCAGGAGTAACATGCTTAAGTTGGACCTGGTTGACTATGGCAGAAATGTCATGAGGGGCCAAGACAACCAGGGGGTGGCCAAGGACAAGATCTCCAGTTCTTTCAATGAGCTCTCTGGCAGCAAAGACGGCCCGAAGGCAAGAGGGACGTCCTCTGGCCACAATATCCAGTTGGCAGGAGAAAAATCCAATAGGCCTTTGGCGGCCTCCAGGACCATGAGCCTGAGTGAGTACTCCTGTTGCATGGCCTTGTCTTTCAGAAACAAACAATTTGAAGGGTTTGGTATAGTCTGGTAGGCCAAGAGCAGGAGCAGAAGCAATAGCACGCTTGAGAGAACAGAAGTTGTCAAGGGCTTCTGTGGACAAGCAAAATGGGTCTGACTTGAGAGCATCATAAAGAGGTTGCATAAGGAGCGAGGCTTCTGGGATCCATGCTCGGCAATAGGAAATGAGGCCTAGGAAGGCGTGTGGTGACTTCGAGGTCCTTGGAGGTGGAATGTCCAGTACCGCTCTAACTCAGTCACGGGTAAGATGTCTGGTTCCCTGAGACAGACAATGGCCAAGGAAAATAACAGTAGGTTGGCAGAATTGCAGCTTGAGACGTGAAGCTTTACATCCTTGTTCTGCTAGGTAGCAAAGAAGATTAAGTGAGCATTGTTCTGTTGTGGGTATATCATCTCCACAAAGCAGCAAATCATCCATATATTGAAGCAGGACGACCTCAGGATGGTCAGATTGCCATGGATCAAGGATAGAGCACATGGCCTTCGCAAATTGACTTGGTGAATTTTGTGCCCCTTGGGGCATGACAGTCCATGTGTACTGTTGTTTGTCATGTGTGAAAGCAAACAGATATTGGCAAGTTGGATCCAGGGGAACACTGAAGAAGGCATTGGCTAGATCAATTACAGTGAAGTACTTGGCAGAGGGTGGAACGCCGGAAAGGAGAGTGTGTGGGTTGGGCACTATTGGAGTGTCCAAAACTGTGGCTTCATTTACCGCTCTGAGGTCTTGGACCAATCTGTACTTTTCTGGTTCGCCTTTTGGAGTCTTTTTCTTTACTGGAAATAATGGAGTATTGCATGGTGATTCACATTTGACAAGAGCACCCTTCTCCAGGAGTGCTTGAATTTGAATTGTAATGGCTGCAGCTTGAGCTGGTTTCAAAGGATACTGTGATTTTCGTGGCAATTTTACGCCTGGGATGAGCTTTACCACCACAGGCGGGACCTTTAGATGGCCTATGTCCTCTGGGCCTGTGGACCACAGCTTCTTGGGAACATCAGTCTTTAGTGAATCAGGGAAATTAGTCCTTAGGTCTTTTGCATCCCCATGAGGCTCTTCTAGATGTAGCATCAGGGGTAAGGAGCACAAAGCTGAGGTGTCTGAGACAGATAGAGGGGTGGATAGTTCCACTTGTCCATCTGGAGTAAAGGTGATGGATGCCTGCAGGCGTGAAAGAACATCAGCTCCTAACAGGTTAATGGGGCATGTGGAAGATACCACAAAGCGAGCAAGCAAGTTGTGGCAGTTACCAACCCGCAGTGGGGTGGACAGGGGACTTTGCCTTGGAAGGCCGTCCACCCCAACACAGGAGACATCAATATTGGAAAGAAATGAGGTATCGGGCAGGTCTTGTTCTCTCAGAACACTTCGGGCTGCACCTGTGTCAACTAGGAAAGTGGTGGGCTGGCCCTCAATGGGTAAAATTACAGTAGCTAGAGGCCCCCCTTGTTCCCCTGAAGACACTGCCATGGCAGGGGCATTAAGCATCAGCGGGTTTGCTCTCCTCAGTATGGGCTGTGTTACTGACTCAAACCCCTTTTGTATGTCATTAGCCATAGCTTTTTGCAGTCTGAACATGTCTATCATTATAAATAATGGTTAATAGTAAGTTAAGTAAAGTTCCTATATGTCTTTGGATAAAACATTAACTATTGCGGTACTATCATTTATATCAATTAGACTATAACAATTATACCACCCTGTAACTAAAATGAATAACCAGTAGTGGCTGGGTTAATAAACATGTCACAAACCCTTCTAATGCTAAACCATCATTTAAAGTAAAGGATGTTACTGTAAACATAAGATCTGTAACTAGCAAGATTCGATTAAGTAAAGATACAATGTTTAAAATAACTTGCATTATTTAGCTATTTCCCTTGTTGCAAGATGAAGCTGGATAATCAGCTGTTATGCTCTTATATTCGTGTCCAACAGATCTCATTTGTAGGTCACACCACAGTTGCAAATTACATTTTAGCAACCTTCTCTTTTTTTATATCACGGACACATTGTTGATACAGGGAAACATTACAACATGTCTCTAAATGGGACGAGCATAATAGGGGTAGGCCTCATGATGGAGGCAGCCATGACAGGGGCGGGGAAGGAAATGACAGCAAGGGAGGAAGTGAGATGACGTCCATGATAGGTGTGGGAAAGGAAGACAGGAGGTGTGGGCATGGTAAGGGCGGAAGTGACGTCACTTTCAACAATACACTATATTATAACTATTAAAATAAGTCAGAGAAGCAACATTCCGTTCTGCAAAATGAAATACTAAACTATGAACAGACCTGGCAGGTTAAATAAGACAGTTGAGAACATTATGCATTTAACAGCCCATACAGCTGTTTCTAGAAACATGTACTTTAAAATAACTTTAAAATAATAAAATGATGCAAAATAAACTCGCGGAATTCAACCAAATTCCCTTATCTTCCTCAAACCATTAATCACTTTCCTCCTCTTATACTGACTTAACAACATCGCATATTCCCTCTACACCTTCCTAAATCCCGTATTCAACACTGAATGCAATCTTGTGAGCTCGTCACTCCCACAATCCTCAGTACCTTATACTCTTATCAGTAGCTTCTGAATAACTCTACAGAACACCGAAGAGACAGACCTAAATCGCAAGCATGTCACCACCCCCCTCCGCCCCCTCCCCCCCGCGTCTCACAGAAGCGAGGGGAGGGGGGGGTGTTTTAGCAGAGGGGGATTTGAGTGGAACAAGAGAGAGACTGCCTGCCAGCACGAATTTAACCATGTCAACGCTGTACAGTAACAAGACAGAAGGACAATTACATTACAAAGCAAAGAGACACAAAAACACAACATTTCATTTATACCCCCACCCTCTACCAGGGTAATGGCTAACACAAAATACAAAAAAACCCCACAGCGTTTTAAGATTGGGGTGGGATGGTGACCATGGTCAGCTACATTTCGGTCATTACTGACAGGATGATGGAAGTGGTCACCTCCTGGACAGGGCACTGCTGGGATAACTTCCCAGTAACACAATTATTATGATATACATACAATCTTAAACCTTTGTGATCAATATCTTCCTCAACCTATCCCTTTTGCTGAATAGCTCTTGCTACTCGGTACCAGGCTTCTGCTGTACAAACCAAATCTTGGTCCGACAGCTTCCCTTTCTTCTGTCAGTAACTTACGCCAGCTCTCTGGCTACAATCTGCCGCACAGAGGTACGGTAATTCCACATACTTTAGCAATCTTACTCACTTTCTTAACCATCTCTTCTCCTTCTCTGTCTTCCACTAGATCACATGCTAACCAACCCTTACTGGGTTTATCTAACTTCTGTCCCATCCTCCCTATACAAGGCGTCCCAGATATAGAGAGAGAAAGGAACAGAACGTCTACCGTGCTCGACTGCTACTTTAAGAGCAAGCTCTTTAAGTACGTCTTCCCAAAACGTAGACTAGTCACTGATTCCGCCTACCCGTGGTAGCCGCGGATTGGAGCGTGGCGAGAAGTGTGTGACCAATCACTTCTCTCAACAAAGAGAAAGAGAAATAGGAGGGGAAAGTGTAAATAGTACAGTGAGTAAGATAGAAGTAAACACAGGAATCTGTGTGACAGACAATTAAGACAATAACATTTCAGTGTAAATACAGTGCATGCATCACAGTTCAAATAAGTTCAACAGTTTTATCCCTTGCCTTTACTCGTGTGGCCAAAAGCCACCTCCCTCAACCTCGTAGTGTCCCTGTTGCGGACCCACCCGCAAGTCTCACTACCAGCAGCCACAGGAAACAGCAACAGCTTCCAACCCGAATCCTGTATAGCCTAAAGAATTGGAATCTTACCTGCCTCAGCGCTCGAGGCTGGAATTTTACCAAGAAGAAGTGTCCGATGAGGCTAGCTAAGCGGTCAAAATGACACTCTGGGGAACCCCCAGGAAGCAATGAGTCTACATCATCCTCCACAGATTCCCCCTACTCTTTTTCCTTACAGCCACAGCCACGTGGCTCCTAAAAGAGTTAAACAGGCAATAGAGGACCCCCAGGAAAACTTCCACAGGTCCACCCCCCTTTTTCCTTACTACCACAGGCATGTGGTACCTAAAAGGAGTTAAACAGGCACTTACACTCCCCGGGTACTAAGTTAAACACATACCAATACAAACACACCCAGGCAACAGATAGTCAACATGCAGGTAAACTAGGTATCATTAACAATACAAAGACTCTGGGCAAGTTATTACCTGACTTTGATGTCCTCTCGGCAGCAGTCACAGACACTGGGGCAGGTCAATCACAGGGGTAGGAACATACCGGCTAGGTGCTGCAGCAATCTCTACCGTGTATTCAGAGGTGATCAGGCTCTTTTCCTTCCCCCAGGATTCAGCCCCCCCAGCGTCTTCTTGGACAGCTGCCCAGACTGGACATAGCCCAGAGCCCCACGTTGAGAGCGCCAATTGTTCTAGATAATTTACTGCAAACCAATTAGTTTGAATGACTATCTGTTCCTGTCCAAATTAAAGATAATAAAGTTGCGTGCACGCAGAAGTAAATTCACACTGAGACACAAGGTTCAGGGTAATGAAAGAACTTCAGAGAAGTTTAATGGCTTCTGACAGAAAATGGGTGCGCAGACCCTTATAAAGGCATTATTACATCATTGAAGAAAATCAAGATATAGACAAATAGACACTATTGATTGGTCCAGGTGTTAAGTGGTTAGTTAGGTACCCTCCTATCAAGAGGTGATGTCATCCTTGACACGGGAGTGGACACAAGATGTAGGCGCCATCTTGTTAGCACGAGGTGTTCACTCGATGGGAGGGGTGCTTTGGCAGCCATCCATTTAGAGTGTAGCTGGCACGGTTAGTTTCTCAAGGTTAGGTTTCAAGGCTTTTAGTAAATACACATTTTATCAAAGCTATTTCTTGCTGACATGCAAATTCTATGTTCTATAGACAAAGCTTCCTTGTAAAACTATGGGGGGCCTCCTAGAGGTATAGCAAGAGAATTTAAAGGGGCCTTACAGATTTATAGAGGCCTAATAATTCTACAACACAGCTACATCTGCAGAGTACAACGATATGCCTTTGGCACTATTCTGTAAAGCTACAATGCCATATAGGAGACCATGCTATTTCAGTTTCTATACTTGGAATTTTCATAGATGGTCCTATGTCTGATTTTGTGGCATTATAGAAGTTTGACTGTTCAGATAACCCCACAAAGGCCTTCCATTTTAGAAAGCAGACTTTCCAGGGTATCTTATTGGGCATATATTTTACCTTTACTTGCCACCATTTTTCATAAATTTATTTCAAATTTATTGTGGTGAGAACTTTTTTATTTTTTATTTTTTACATTCATATTTGCTGGGTATTTCATACATTTTACAAGTGCCACTGTCACAATTCCCCCCCTAAGTATGCTCCGTTACATCTTCTGAGTAAAACAATATGCCCAATGTATGACTTAGCCAATATTTTGTGAAGTTACAGTGCTGTAAAAAGAGACCTGTCAATTTCAGATTAAGTGTGACTTAACCCTGCAATGTAATTATTGCAGTTTGTAAAAACTGCAATAGTTACACTTGCAGGGTTAAGGGTGATTGGAGTTGGCACCCAGACCACTTCAATGGGCTGAAGTGTCTCTTTAAATACTTTAGTTTATTTAGCACTATTGAATTTGTCTCCAATGCTGGAATTAGTATAGGACCACCAGTAGCTGGGCTTAAAACATATGGTGGAATTAGATTTACATTTTGTGATTTGTACTTCAGATTAATAGTTCATACACAATATTCACATGTCAAAATTATTTTAAAAATAAGCCTGATTAGAGTGTGGATGCTATTTTGGCACATGCCAACTATTTTGCAGACCATGTACACATGTTCATGGCAATGGTGTTCCCTGATGGCAGTGGTTTCTTTCAGCAGGATAAAGCACCCTGCAACTCTGCAAAAATTGTTCAGGAATGCTTTGAGTAACATGACAAAAAGGTGGTGCATTGGACTCCAAATTCCCCAGATCCCAATCTGAATGGGTAGCTATGGGATGTGCTGGTACAACAACTCTGATCCATGGAGACCCCACCTCACAATTTGCCGGACTTAATACTGCTGCTAATGTCTTGGTGCCAGATACCACAGGACACGTTCAGAGGTTTTGTGGAGTCTATACCTCTAAGCATCAAAGCTGTTGATGTCAGCATCAGGGAAACCGTACACAATATTAAGCAGGTGGTTTTAATGTTGTGGCTAAGAATGTATTTCTCTTTAAAATGTAAGAAAGTAGGTACTACTTTGTGTTATGTATTTTTTTTAGGTTTAGCAATTCTGACAAAGGATGGAGTTTAAGTCAAGCTCCACTATCTTGCCTTTTGTCAAGATTGCCAAGCGCAGCAGAAAAAGAAAAACAGTGGCCACCGGGTGCAGGGGAAGGTGAATTATAATAACTTGAATTTGTCCCTGACAGCCACCATGATGTTCCTGCTGGTGCTCTTCGGCTCCTGGAGCTTTAGCTGCCAAGTACCCATATCTGGATTAAATTCTTGTGCATTTGAGAAAATACAACACGGAGGTCGATGGAGAATCCAGCGAAACTACGTGATCCTCCATCGACCAATACTTTTGCTCTACAGCCATCACTAGTATGGCTATTTGGAAATGACAAAAGTAGCTGCCTTTGGCATTTTTCCTATATTTGACAAAACTTGATCAAATAGGTCTCTTGATTTTGTTGGAATTGCAGTGAAATTCCAAAATAGTCAATGTGATTATTTCATAAAGGGGAGGTTGACAGTGCTGCTTTAAAATCACCATGACTGCAACAATCGAATTACTCTCAGCACCTATCCATAGTAAATGACAAGTGGCAAGCAATTCATTCCTGATACACAATTAGAGCGAGGCAGGCTGGATTGTGTCCATTCAGTCTTATGATCGCACCAATCGGCCCAGTACTGTGTTTCTTAAACTCCATTTCCCAGACAATGCATGAAGTAAAGTTGCATATCCACATACACGTCAACACATATCACATGATGTTACTGACATCTGTGTAGGAGGTTCGCAGTACACCTTATTGTCATCTGCTGCCACATATAGGATTATGCAGTTTTATATTTTTTTTCACAGCACGGATGGGTAAAAAAACAGGGTGTAAAAATGTATCCTTAAAGGGACCCTCTAGGCACCCAGACCACCTTTGCCCATTGGAGTGGTCTGGGTGCCAACTTCCACTACCCTTAACCTTGCAACTGTAATTATTGCAGTTTTTTTGTTTGTTTTTTTATAAACTGCAATAATTACCTTGCAGGGTTAACTCCACCTCTAGTGGCTGTCTACTAGAGGGCACGTCCTGATTCATAGCAAACATTTTCTTTGCTAGAGCGTCGCTGGACGTCCTCACGCTGTGTGAGGACCACCAGTGTCACTCGATTCCCCATAGGAAAGCATTGAAAATGTTTTTTAATGCTTTCCTATGGGGAGACCTAATGCACATTAGGTTTCCTCAGCCAGCGGGCGGTATCAGTCTCTCCCACCGGCTGACGTGATTACTGGGAGGAGCGACACCGACCCGAAACCACCGCCAAGGGACATCGGCTGGGTCTCAGATAAGTGACCTGAAGGGGTTTTCACCTTTCAGCTAACTGGGGTGGGAGGTGGGAGGGAGAGGGTACCTGCAGTGCCAGGAAAACTGATTGTTTTCCTGGCACTGGAGTTTTCCTTAAATGTTTTTAGAATGAATGGGCTAAAAACAGGTAGTGCAACCACTCAACGTACATATTCTCAACATAAACGTCTGCACTCTGACAGAGCCAAACTCTACAGACTAATGTAGAAATCGGTTAGTCCCACTAGTATGCATATAGGGTATTGGACCAGTATCTGTTTAACTTTACTTAGACACAAGTTATCTTGCAGGATTTTGCAAAATACCTAAGTCCCACTTCTCAAACTGTCTGCTTGAGATTACATCTTCAGAGGAAGAAACACTGCTCCAATTCTACATGGCCATGTGTCAGGATCGATCAGAGGACCCTCAGCCAGATGAGAGGCAGTAATCCTAACAAGGAAAAGAATAAAAGTCATGATTACGGACTGGAACAGGTCAACAAACAAGCCGGGTCTGGAACACGAACAGGGTAATCATACAAGCCAGGTGATCAGATACGCAAATACAGGAGATCAAGAATAGTGATGTCGCGAACCGTGAAGCTGCCTTCAACATGGATGCTGTCCAGGAAGTAGGAGGGTCTGGGAGGGAGGGTCTGCCGGAGATTGGCAGGGATGTGTCAGCTGACCGGAGTTCGCCACGAACCGTTCGCGGCAAGTTCACGAACGGTTCGCGACATCACTAATCAAGAATTGTTAGAAAATAAGTCTTGTGAAAAACTGGAAAACAATACAGGAGAAATGCACTTCAGGGCTCGTAAACCATAAAAGGAAATCAGAGCTCACTACGAACAGGGAGGCCATGCATCCAGGAGTAACCATTAAGAAAGGCAACACCTGGGTTACCCACAGGTGCCCTACAAAATAAAAAATAGTTGGATGAGAAGTAACCAGTCATCTTTCTGGAATTTTACCAGTAAAGCTGGTTCTACTGTGTCACAGCATGCAGAGGTAGTGGAAAACAAGGGTTCAAGGCCAACAGAGGTAGCCTTCCTGACACCGTGCCACACAAATGCACCCTACATTCACACACTGAGATTTCTCCCCACACGATCACACACATACACCCTTTAAAGGCATACACTGACACTCCACACCAAAAAAACATTCATGCACTGACACTTCACACTTTGTAACACAGCATTCATTTCCACATCTTGTTTCAGATAAAACAACATTTATTCAGAGGTTATTTTACAAAACAGAACTTTAAAATGGTATACAGAAAAATACCTTACAATACAATTCCCATGTAACAAATAAAAGAAAAAACATTGAAGGTACAGAGAATAACAAATATTTTCTCCATCACAGAGAAGAACAGTGCCATCTCTTGCACAAAATATTTTATTTTGCTAAAATCAGCTATTGTGTCCACAGCTCCCCACCCACCCAGCTGCCAGAATGTAGATCATGTACACGGAGCACAGAAGCTTTCATACAGTCAGGAGCCAATTTGTTTATCTGATAAGTAACGGACAGAGCTGGACATAAGGGTAATGAGACAGTACTCATCCAACATGAAGATTGTTTTGTAACATCTAGCCTGACTGCTCTATTCAATACAAATTTTATATCTGAAATCGTGTACTGTTTATGACACGATCGATGAAATAATACAGAAAAGTGTGTAAACAGTTATATATAAACCATATTTGAGTGGTTAAAAACATTAAGAGCGTTATAATCGGTGTGTGAAAAACGTTTAACAACATAGTTGTTGTGTCAATTTTTCACCATTTCCAAGCCATGGTTCTTAAAACCCATTCTCATGAACCACCAACTCTATTCCAAAGAGGACAGTAAAAACACCTGTTGGGTCAGTGGCATTTGAGGTGCAGCAATCTTTGATCATCTTCAATCATCTTCATGCTGTTGGACATGGGTGAAACATAATGAACAACTCCATAAAGCTGAATACCATATGTTGTAGTGTTGCAGTCTACACACCCAATAAAGAAGTCTTATAAGGTCCATTAAGGCCACAGGTTCAACGTCCATAGCAGTACAACATACTCTAGGAAAAGAGTAGTAGGAAGAAACTGCAATTAAATAATTCTGTTTCTATACAAAGATTTCATTCTTGGTTAAGATCAAGGTTCCAGCCTTCTCTTTTTGATTAGTCCCTGGTTTGGCCGATATGGACTTCTATCTGTAAAGAACAAAATATCCATGAATGCAATAAAAAAAGTTTTTTTGTTTTTTTTAAATATGAATAAGTAAGGGTTTCTGCAATATAGATGGATGGCAAAATGGTTTCTGTAACTAATTGTTGTAGTCACTTCCATTCCCATTTACAATCCCTTTGCAGGACAACTCTGTTCCCTGCTGTGTAAAGCCAGAGTTAGAGGACAGACATATGTTATTTTCCCATGCTAAAGTAAAGACACACTCCAAATCAGCCAATGAGCTACTCTCTGCACCACCAGGCATAGCTCAGACAGAGAGCTTTTGGCTCTCTGTCGGAAGCAGTGGAGGCAGAGAGCAGCACTAAAGGGATGCTGTATTCCTGGCACTACCATTCCCCCTGCCTCCTTCACCAGTAAATAAAAGGTTGAAAACACTATTTACTTACCTTTTCCCAGCGCCAATGTCCCTCGGCGCTGGGTCGCAGCTCCGCCCTCTCCTCATTCTTGCAACGAGAAGGGTCTAATGCACATCCATGGCAAATGAAACGCGCGTATTAGACGTCCTCTTAAGAAAACAATGAATCAGTGCTTTCCTATAGGGAAAAATCTGATGCTGGAGATCCTCATGCAGAGTGTGAGGACATCCAGCGTCAGATACCAGAACAAAGATCTGTTTCAATTCAGGAAGGTCTCTATTGGCTGTCTGTCTGTTAGACAGCCACGGAGGACAGACTTAGAGCTGTAATGTAAACATTGCAGTTTCTATGGAACTGCAATGTTTTACATTGCAACGCTAACTGCAAAAGGGACACATCACCCAGACTACTTCAATTAGCCAAAGTGGTCTGGGTGCCTACAGTGTCCCTTTGTATGTACCAAAACAACTTTAGCTAAATTATTAGTTTTAATGTATAGATCATGCCTCTGCAGTCTCATTGCTCTGACATTTGGGAGACACATCTCCCTACATGTGACTTACACAACCTTCCTAAACACTAGTGAGATCTAATGTTTACACTTCTTTTATTGCACAGTTTAAACCAGGCTTCCCCAAACTCTGGCCCTCCAGATGTTGCTGAACGGCAACTCCCATGATTCTATGAATGAAAGAGATAGGCTGAGAATCATGGGAGTTGTAGTTCAGCAACATCTGGAGGGCCGGAGTTTGGGTAAGCCTGGTTTAACCCCTTAAGGACCAAACTTCTGGAATAAAAGGGAATCATGACATGTCACACATGTCATGTGTCCTTAAGGGGTTAAAGGGATACTCCAACTTTTTTTTTCCATAAATCTGTTTATTTTAATTATTATCTATAAAGCACCAACAAGTTCTGTAGTGCTGTACAATGGGTGGACTAACAGACAAGTATTTGTAACAATACAAACTGGAAGAACAGGAAAAGAGGGATTGAAGACCTTGCTCAATGAGCTTACATGCTAGAAGGAGTGGGGTACACACAAGTGACACAAAAGGTAAGGGTAGGCTAGAAAAGTAGGTTGCGAGTATAATGTCCTATTTATTGGACATTATACATTAGGTCCCACTGCTTTCCATACCTGGGCAGTTGCACGAGGTCTCATCAGAGACTTCTCATATAGAAGCAGTTGTTTCACAGCTCAAAGCACATGCACTCATATCTCACACTCTGGGTCAGGGAGGGTCATGTGTGCTGGGGATGTAACAAGCAACCAGCACAAAAGTGCAGCTTACATAGTATACACAGTATTTCAAGCTGAAACACTGCACACATACATACTCCTTCCACCATGACCACTTCAAAACACTGAAGTTGCCATGGTGGTAGGACTAACCCTTTAATTCTGAATTTTTTTTTATTTTTATCTCCTTCACTGTTAATAGCCTTCTACAACCTGTAGGAGCCTCCTGTGAATAAAGTTAAAGGGATCCTATGGTGCCAGGAAAACACTTACCTGTATCCAGTGCCGATGTCCCTCTGCGCGCGCATCAGATCTCCCCATAGCAAATAATTATTCAATGCTTTCCTATGTGGAAGATCTGACGCTGGAGGTCCATGAGAACGTCCAGCGTCAGATAACGGACGAAAAGTCAGTTTGAATTCCGGAAGCCCTCTGGTGGCTGTCTGTTAGACAGCCACAGAGGGCAGACTTGGAGCTGCAATGTAAACATTGCAGTTCTCTGGAACTGTAATGTTTTACATTGCAGCACCAAGTGCAAAAGGGTCACAGCACCCAGACCACTTCAATTAGCTGAAGTGGTCTGGGTGCCTTCAGTGTCTCTTTAAATTTACATAGCAGGAGATGCAAACTTCTAAAGTTTGTTAACATCTGAAATTAAAACCTTTTTCCAGGCAGGTTGAGTAATTCACAGCCATGGGAGGTGAGGCTTGGTCTACATGGACAGAAACAAAAGTGATTTAACTCCTTAATGGCAGAGAATTGAGTAGCCAGTCTGCATGGGCATCTATACACGAAAACCAATTCATTAAGCTACAGCTTATTTTGATGCTTACAGTCTAGAGGAGTGGAGTATAAAGAGACAGTAGAAAAAGCATCAAAGGGGAGAGCAAACAAACAAGGTGGAAAAGTAGCAGAATTGGAAGGTGAGATTGGAGTGTGACTCTTTAGGTGAGAGCAAGAGACAGATATGTGACGTAGAAGTTACTCTGGGAGGTCATAAGCATTTAACAGATACATTTTGAGGAACTTCTTAAATGATAGACTAGGGGAGAGTCTGATGGTGGTAGGCAGGCTGTTCCCAAGTAAAGAAGACGCCAGTAAGACGTCCTGCAGGAGAATGTCACCAGCAGAACATAGAGACTGAGAAGGGGCATACCTACGAATCACTGAAGAAATATAACAGCAGCTAGAGTTTAGAGCTTTATACGTAAGGGTTAGTATCTTGAACTGACACCTATAGGATACAGGAAGCCACTGTAAAGATCAACAGAGGGGTGAGGTATGGGAGGAGCGACAGGTGAGAAAGATCAGCCTGGCAGCAGCATTCATTACAGATTGTGCTGGGGCATTATAGCTTCTGGGGAGACCAACTCGGAGAGAATTACAGTAATCCAGGGCTAGGCAAATTTTTTGAAATCTAGGAGCCAGTTTTTTTTTGTTTTAAAGTAACAAAGTTTAATTTTCAACAAGAAAAATGCAATCCTTAAAGGGATGCTATAGTCACCAGAACCACTACAGTGTAATGTAGTTGTTCTGGTGTCTATAGCCTGTCCCTGCAGACCTTTCAGTGTAAACACTGCCTTTTCAGAAAAAAGGCAGAGTTTACATTGCTGCTTAGTAACACTTTTAGTGACAGTCACTCAGACGGCCACTAGACTAGAGAGTCCTGGGTCACTGTGTGCAGCACCCACACTCAGTGTGTACAAGCTCTGCATGAAGGCACTGAATGTTCCTCATAGAGATTCATTCAATGCATCTGTATGAGGAGATACGGATTGGTACATTTTCTGCGCATGCACAAAATCTTCCCAATGCTTTCCTAATGGAAAGCATTGGCTTAGCCGAGATGATAAAGATTGATAATCTCCGCCATGGAAGTAGGACCAGGCACGGGGAAAAGGAGAGTAAAAACACCTTACTCGTGCGATCAGAGCATGAAGGTACGTAAACACACAGTCTGACAGGTGCATGTGCGCACACAGTCTGACTGAAGCAGACATACACATTCTGAAATGAACACACACTATCACCAGCGCGCACGTGAACGCGCGCACACACACACTCTCTGACAGGCTCACATACACCCTCACATTTTTCGTTTTTAATTCAAACCAACTCACCTTTGGGAGAGCTGAGTTAATCTTTCCCTGGGGTCCAGTGGGGCTGTTGTCTAATCTTCCTGCAGCTTCTCTCTTCTCCCTGCGCGTGCTTTGTAATGATGCCGGGGCTGGAATGACATCATATTCCGTCTTCCGGAATCACTAAACAGCGCAAGGGAGCTGCTCAATTGCGCACCACCTTCATGCTCCCCAGGGCGGACGGCCACCTCCTAGCTCCACAGGGCGGCTGCCTTCAAAGCTCCTTCGGCAGCCACATTAACTAAAGAGCTGGCAATTCCCAGGCACCAGGGTGAAATTTTTAGTCGGTGTGGCAACCTGGCGTCTGGGATTTGTCGAGCCCTGCAGCAATGGATGGATGTTTTTAAGGTGGAATCGACAGGTTTTAGCAACATACTGGATATGAGGTGCAAAGGTCAGGTCCGGATCAAAGATAACACCAAGACAGCGCGCTTGCAAGGATTAACTGATGATGGTACCATCAACTTGCAGGGAAAGTAAGAGAGGAGAATGTGTATGACTAGAAAAGATAAGAAGTTCAGTTTTAGAGATTGAGATTCAGGAAGCGGGAGGACATCCAGACAGAGATTGAAGAAAGGCAAGCGGGGACACATTGTAGGACCGTGGGGGAGAGATCAAGGGAGAAAAGATATAGGTCTGCAACTGAAACAGGATGAGACACTGAACGAACGTTGTGAGAGATAGGAGGAAAACCCAAGCGAGGACAGTGTCACAGAGTGTCACAGAGACCAAGTGATTGAAGAGTTTGGAGAATAAAGACATGATCAACAGTGTCAACGGCTGTGATTATGTAATTTGTAACATTAGTCAGAGCAGTCTCAGTAGAGTAAAGGGGACGGAAGCCAGTTTAAAAAGGGTCAAGGAGAGAGTTGGAATTGAGGAAGCAAGCGAGTAAAGACAAGTCTTTCTAGAAGCTTTGAGGAAAAAGGGAGCAGGGATATGAGATGATAGTTGGAAGAAGAAGATGGGTCTAGAGATGGCTTTTTAGGATGGGACAAGAGGAAAAGAGAAGCACAGGCACCTCCTGTTCAGTAGCTGGGGAGAAGGCCTGAAGGATAGGGAAGGTAAGGTCCAGGTGCAATTTAGAGAGAGAGGGAAGAATGCTCTTCTTAATTTTTTAATTCTTGCGAATAAAGTAGCATACAAAGCTATCAGTTGAAAAGTTAGTTTGGGAGGGGGCTTCAGATGGGTGAAGGAGAGAGTTGATTATATCGCAAAAATGCCTGGAATTGCATGAGCATGAATGAGAGAGGAAAAGTATGATTGTTTAGCAAGGGTGAGGGCTGCGCTGTAAGATTGCAAGATAATGGATAAAGTATGACATGGTGTTGGACTTCCTCCAGCAGCATTTAGCAGAACGGGAGCATTTCTGCACTTTGCAGGTAGCGGGTCGAATAGTTTGCCATTATTGAAGGCGTGTCTTCCTTGAGGTGCATGTCTAGTGTGGGGCTGCAGCATCCAGGACAGAGGTGAGGGTAGCATTCCACAAGGAAATAGTCAGAGAGGGACATAAGAAGGTAGGGATGGATGAGAGTTTAGAACGGATATCAGTTGAGAGTTGCTGGAGGTCAATAGAATTCAGGTTCTTTCTGAGCTGATGGGGGTTAGGCTGAGGATGTTGGGTGAGGGAGCTCTCAAGAACAAATGATAAGAGGTGATCTTATAGAGAATTAGCCCACTGAAATAGCCCAAGGGAGGAGGTAATAGAAAGAGGTTTGGAGGCAACTGAGGTCAAAGGTGGATTAATGGGAATGTTGAAAGTCAAGAGAATTAGGGATGGAGTATTGAAAGGAAGTCGGGAAGCTACTGTAGTGGTTATATTGGTTTATATGGTTTAAAGGGATTCTATATTGTAAGGAATACAAAATTGTAGTTCTTACACTATAGTGGTCTCTGGAAAGAGTTTTTGAGTTAAAGAAAATAAAATACATTTACAGCTTTTCAAAGCAGTGTACATACAGTATAAAGGATGTACAACCTGGCAGTAAGAAAAAACGACAGATATTATGTGACCTAAAGCTAAGGTCTTCGTAGTAACCACTGACTGGTAACAGAGAAATTGTGATCAGTAACATTTTGAGACTGGTTAGTTTGTAGGGGAACCTAAACCTGTCTCTGTAATCTTAGTGTGAATGAAGAAAGATTTATTTTTTATTTTTGATAGTTCTCAATAACAACAACACTAAACAAGGTTCTTTTATTTCAAAGGCCATGAAAAGCACATACCTGATCTTTGATTCCCATGTCTCTGAATCCAGGTGTCTGATCGAACAAGTTGATTATTGTGGTTTGCCCGCTGTGGGGTCTTACTTCGTGTCAACATCTGATGCTGCCCCGGGGTATTGTGTGGTGTTGTGATAGAGTTGGGAGCACTCTGTAAAGTATCATTTGATATATGATCCACTTCCCCATCTAACGGGATATCCCACAACTCAGGGTCATCTGGAACAATAATTTGAGATAATGATCACTGTGTAGTGCCAAACCCCACAATTTTTTTTCTACCCACAGTTTAACAAACCCTCAGTTTGCTAGAGCAATCTGTTATAGAAGGAGTTTGTGTATATATATATATATTTTACAAGGAACTAAGCTGCATATAAGGTAGAACTTTGAGGTTTGTGGAACATTGACTATATAAGAGAGCAATTCACAGACTATGATGCATTTTGCTTTGAGGCACTGCACATACAGTAATTTACCCCTCTGCTGATGGAGGTGTCCACCTCTGGTAGGGGTGTCGTCAGTTAACCGGGAACTAGTTCCAGACAGGTTAATGTCAATTCTGTACAACATTTCATGCACAGAATGAAAGGCATTGGTTGAGAGTGGTTAGCTGATGCTCTCAGCCAATGAACGTTAATCACCACAGCTCCAACTTCTGAAGCTGGAAGCACATCACTGAACCATCAAAGAAAAATTGAGGCCAGCATGGACACAGGTAAGGGGATAAAATGTTGACAGCTGTTGCTGTTTGTAGTGGTAATGATGGTTAGGGTACTCCTTTAAGGCTTTGGAAGCTAGGATAAGACATCACCTTAATTTTGTTTCCCCAGAGAGTATGAGGGTACAGGGAGAGAAATGGGAGAGCAAACATTCAGGTTTTGGGCTGCCTTGCAATGTACAGGAATATACAGTGCAGGGCTTCTTAAAGGGCCATGTGCCTAACAAAATGGTCGACCAAGACTGACAGGAGGCCAGTACATTGCCCCACATTTAGGCAACCAGCCCATCACCAACACAAATGCCAGCATAACAAGGGCACCTTGGGGGAATGCCTCCTTCCACTAAACAGGTCTTTCAAAATCTCCTGCAGGACACAAAATAGCAATTGGCAGCAAATGTTGCGGTAGTGAAAGCGGAGATTCAAACACTTACGGATAGAGTTAAGGCCACTGAGGAGCATATTTTAGACATTCATCAAATTACAAAAACAAATACAGCAATATTTAAGTGGTGAACCACCAACACAAAAAAACATCAAAGTGCGAGTGCATCGCTTAAAACTAATTCAAACTTACCACTCTACAAATGTTGGGTAGTATAATTTCACGGATATAAAAGAGAAGCAAAAAAAAGAATATAATAGTGCAACAAAGTTTTAGAAAAGTTACATACATGTAAGCTTGTGGTATAAATATGCTTACAATATTTTGAGCCTTTTTAACGGTATGGCTTTAAACGTACACGTGTTCGTGCCCTTCTGGCGGCACCTGTACCTCTTCTGATAGTCAGATGCTTTACCTGGAGCCCATAGAATACTGGTCCCATGATTTTGCACACATTGCCAGATCAGAAGTGGCAATTCCCTCCTTTATCCAACCCAAGGAAATAGGATATAAGGCCAAGAGTGTGGTTTTTTTCTTTTTAAGTATATATCACTTTAAACAAAAAATCTTAATCAAAAATGCATACAAAATTGGTTAGTTAAAATTTTGCTGGTCCCTGAGATGCATTTCCCCTGGTATGTGGGCTTTATCAATCGGTGTAGTCCTACTAAATGTACAAAAGGACATATTACGAGTTTCCAAGATCCCCAAATTAAACATAAGAAACATAAAATGAAGGAACTTTTAACCTGCCATTCCAAAAATGTAGTATATGTCCTTTCATGCACGTGCAATTTAATGTATGTAGCAAGAACAAAACGTCCCCTACACACAGGCATTGAAGAAAATGTTAGAAACATCAAGAAGGGATATGAAAAACACAATGTGTCCCTTCTTTTTAAATTGCACCATAATAATGATCCACATGATCTTAATTTTCATGCGATACAACAGGTTTATACAAATTGGAGAGGTGGGGATATGGCAAAGAATTTGGGACGGGATGAAATGAAGTTGATTTTTAATTTAAATACATTGACTCCAAATGGACTCAATGTAGATTTTGAACATTGTTATTTTTTATAACTTTTTAGGGATGGTTATTTTTAATACTATTTATTCTTTTTTACATAACTCTTTTTCAATTTTTTTACCCTAATATTATTTAGTAGATCATCCACTTCACTTCTTTCCAAAAAAATCTTATTTTCTAGCCATGTCTAAACTAATTTAGATTGTGTATATTTGTATATTGTGTCTTTACTAGTTGTAGAAATATACATACACATATGCACACACATATATATACATATACACACTGCTCAAAAAAATAAAGGGAACACTTAAACAACACAATGTAACTCCAAGTCAATCACACTTCTGTGGAATCAAACTGTCCACTTAGGAAGCAACACTGAGTGACAATCAATTTCACATGCTCTTGTGCAAATGGGATAGACAACAGGTGGAAATTATAGGCAATTAGCAAGACACCCCCAATAAAGGAGTGGTTCTGCAGGTGGTGACCACAGACCACTTCTCAGTTCCTATGCTTCCTGGCTGATGTTTTGGTCACTTTTGAATGCTGGCGGTGCTTTCACTCTAGTGGTAGCATGAGACGGAGTCTACAACCCACACAAGTGGCTCAGGTAGTGCAGCTCATCCAGGATGGCACATCAATGCGAGCTGTGGCAAGAAGGTTTGCTGTGTCTGTCAGTGTAGTGTCCAGAGCATGGAAGCGCTACCAGGAGACAGGCCAGTACATCAGGAGACGTGGAGGAGGCCATAGGAGGGCAACAACCCAGCAGCAGGACCGCTACCTCCGCCTTTGTGCAAGGAAGAACAGGAGGAGCACTGCCAGAGCCCTGCATAATGACCTCCAGCAGGCCATAAATGTGCATATGTCTGCTCAAACGGTCAGAAACAGACTCCATGAGGGTGGTATGAGGACCCAACATCCACAGGTGGGGGTTGTGCTTACAGCCCAACACCGTGCAGGACGTTTGGCATTTGCCAGAGAACACCAAGATTGGCAAAGTCGCCACTGGCGCCCTGTGCTCTTCACAGATGAAAGCAGGTTCACACTGAGCACATGTGACAGACGTGAGAGTCTGGAGACGCTGTGGAGAATGTTCTGCTGCCTGCAACATCCTCCAGCATGACCAGTTTGGCAGTGGGTCAGTAATGGTGTGGGGTGGCATTTCTTTGGGGGGGGACGCACAGCCCCCCCTGTGCTTGCCAGAGGTAGCCCAACTGCCATTAGGTACCGAGATGAGATCCTCGGACCCCTTGTGAGACTATATGCTGGTGCGGTTGGCCCTGGGTTCCTCCTATGCAAGACAATGCTAGACCTCATGTGGTTGGAGTGTGTCAGCAGTTCCTGCAAGACGAAGGCATTGATGCTATGGACTGGCCCGCCCTTTTCCCAGACCTGAATCCAATTGAGCACATCTGGGACATCATGTCTCGCTCCATCCACCAACGACAGGTTGCACCAAAGACTGTCCAGGAGTTGGCAGATGCTTTAGTCCAGGTCTGGGGGGAGAGCCCTCAGGAGACCATCCGCCACCTCATCAGGAGCATGCACAGGCATTGTAGGGAGGTCATACAGGCACATGGAGGCCACCAACACTACTGAGCCTCATTTTGACTTGTTTTAGGGACATTACGTCAAAGTTGGATCAGCCTGTAGTGTGTTTTTCCACTTTAATTTTGAGTGTGACTCCAAATCCAGACCTCCATGGGTTGAAAAATTTGATTTCCATTTTTTAATTTTTGTGTGATTTTGTTGTCAGCACATTCAACTATGTAAAGAACAAACTATTTCAGAAGAATATTTAATTCATTCAGATCTAGGATGTGTCATTTTTGTGTTCCCTTTATTTTTTTAAGCAGTGTATGTATGTATGTATGTATGTATGTATGTATATATGTATATATATATGTATATATATATATATATATATATATATATACACACACACACACACACACACACACACTAAATATATATATATATATACATACACACACATATCCCTTTTTTACATTTATTAATTCATTTTATGATACACACATTACTGCTAAATTTTAAAGTATTTAAATTGCACATTTAGTTTTTGTTACTACATATACCAAGTTTATCTCTCCCTTCCCCTTATTTTTCATGCTGCCGATGTCTATATCTGATATATATGTGAAAGAACTGGTGCTGGAGCGCTAGGAACTCTGGACTTTGTAGCATAAGAGGATAAACATGACTGCAATGTGGAAGTGACGTGTCCGCAAGATGGCAGACACGTCACATCCGGACCAAACAGAACTATGCTACAAGACAAATACAACGGAGGAACATCCAACAAGAAGCACTAATTGAATAACAAAGTAAGGAAAATGTCCCACCATGCCCCCAGAAAAGAACGAACAGGATTAGATACAAGTTATGGACTTCCCTAATAAAGTGAAGATCCCAAGGATAGGACTACACCGACTGAGAAAGCCCACATATCGGGTGAAACACGTCTCAGAGGCCAGCAATATTTTAACTAACCAATTTTGTATGTATTTTTGATTTAGATTTTTTGTTTAATTAAAGTGATGTACAATTTTTAAAAAAACAAACACTCTCTTGGCCTTATATCCTATTTCCTTGGGTTGGATAAAGTGGGAATTGCCCCTCCTGATCTTAAATGTGTGCAAAAACGTGGGGCCAGTATTCTATGGGCTTCAGGTAAAGGATCTGACTGAAGAGGTACAGTTGCCGCCAGAAGGGCACTAACACGTGAACGTTCAAAGCCATACCGTTCAAAGGGCTCAAAATATTGTAAGCATATATATATACACACACACACACACCACACTCTTACATGTATGTAACATAACTTTGTTGCATTATTATATTCTTTTTTGCTTCTCTTTTAGATCAATGAGATTATACTACCCCACATTTGTAGAGGGGTATGTCTGAATTAGTTTTAAGCGTTGCACTCGCACGTTGATGTTTTTTGTGGTGGTGGTGGTCCATCACTTAAGCATTGCGGTATTGTGTTTTTAGATATATGTAAGTGGGACATTTTGGGAGTTCCCACAGAGTGCCACAGCTGCTGATTCTCAATTTCCTCACATATACTATTGATAATCGCCATTACATATACACTTTTGTTATTCACATTAAAATTTATTCATCAAAGTATGTCTGCACTACAGAAAACGTGCAACAGCTACAGTCGGCCAAACACACCATCACAATGCAAGTAGTTTTGCTGGATGACCACAGCAGATGCCACAACCTTAAACTCCGAGGGATTCCTGATGCCATCTCTATTGAAGAACTGCTGCATAACTTATGTCGAGTAATGGCGTCAATTCTCCCTCCATGCCAGGCCAGGAAGAACATTTTATATGGCAAAACATGTTACACGTTTGAATCCTCCGATCTTACCATCTACTACGACCTAATTAGATACACACTACAATGGAGGAAATCACTCTAACCAGTGACTCAATGGCCCAGAGACACTAACACGGAATACAGATGGTCACCACCGCGCTCTCTCTCTGTCACCCAGAATGGGACTGTCCTCAAAATTCCTTCCTTCAATGAAGCCTCCACTTTCCTTGCATCATTGGGCATCTATGGTTGCTGTTGACAGCTAATGGCCCTACATCACATCACTTAGTCACTATCGTACCAAGAGGTGGAGAGTAGACTCACACGCAGAACACCGTTATATCCTTTATTCACAATGATTTTTCCTTTTTATCCTTTTGTTTTATTTTTCTACTTACCTCTCTTTTTGTATACCAGGAGTTCCACATTTAGCCTAGTAGCTGAATGTTTTGTTAAGCCTGAGCCGCCACACATGGCAGTAACTTATCCTCCCCACCAAACTCCACCACCCCGTTAGTTAAGGGTACCAAATCTCAGTTAAGCTTATGATGATGCAGCATCATAATCAGTGACTTGAGGTGTCCCATGTGATCCAATTTACCAATGCAGCTCCAATCATTCTTCTTTTAATATTATCGGTTTTTATATCTCAAGCTCCAGATCCAATTAGAATATTGAAGCAAGTTCCTTCTCATAAAGTTATTTTAATCACACCTAGTAATAGGTAGAGCATGGTGTCCATTCTATATTTTGTTTGTTATCTTTTTTTTTTTTTTTTTGGTTAATCCTCAAATAATTTATGTTTGCTCGTTCTCTTATAATTCTACAAAAAAGAAAAACTGAGGTCTGACTTCTCCAACAGCTTATTTAATTAATTTAGTGTTGGCCATTATTGAATGTCAAACCATATTATGTTGCACATGTTGATTGCCGATACATGTCTCATATGTCGGTTTCTCGTTAACCTCAATAAAAACAAAACGAGCTTGACAAAAAAAAAAAAATATGTTACAGTTATATAATGTGTTCTTCTGTCTAAGATTGAGTGTATCCAAAATTATATTCAACACAATGGCATGTCAATGGCATAATTAACTGCAGCATCTATGCTTTATTTAAGGCTGCTCTGTATTTCTTTCACATCCCCATACATTATTTTAAATACTGCCTACACTATTAATGGATCAGGGTTTTTAATTTGGTCAGAGTGTATTTGTTCGTACAAACGTTTAACTAAATTGTGCTTTCTTGGGGGAACAGTGTGCATTGTGTATCATTCAGTTCAAACGCGGCATTTCATCTTGACCTGCAGAGTAAAATGTTTAGTGCTCCTCAGCTCAAAAGGGGAAATCCTGTGTTTTCATTGGCTGCTGGAAATGGCTATTGAAGCTACGTGTATTATTGCATTTGCCAGAGAAAATAATATTTTTATGTTTTGCTTTAAATTGATTTGTGTGGAGCAATGTTCAGATGGCACAGTTACTTCACATTAATAGCAATATCCTTAGCTTTACTTGTAAGCATTTGTATCCTGTATGGCAGTAAGGAATTACTTTGGGCAGATTTCTTATACCTGGTAATACAGTGCCCAGTCTATTCTTGTTCTTTTGGAAGAAATACTAAAGTGTAGTTTATTGCCAATTAATATAAAACACCAATCCTTCCATGGTCGGTACTATAAATAAAAAAATAAAAAATCTGTTGTGCTCTTTTGTATTTTATTATAATTGTTTAGAATGTACTTTAAAATATAAGCATAACATAAATCAAGACAATTTTCAAAAACAATATAGTGACTTCACTACACTGAGCCATGGACGAGTATTATTAGCTAGCCAGGGAAATTCACACATCCTGGATCATCCATAGATCAATATGGATGTTTAAATTCTATCCTGAAGGTGATCATGCCTGCTCTCACCTGCCAGAAGCTCCTCCTCGGGCACAGATGCAGCCTGCACAGTTGCTGGAGTGCTATGACTGTGGTGGGCGGCCATACGAGCATGTGCGGTCACTAAGAAAAAATACAGGAGGGAAAAAAAGTTAGAAAATGGACTGTTTTTAAAAAACAAAAAATGCACTGTAAAAAATAAATATTACTAAATAAGTTTTAAATATAAAAATCCGTCCTTTCAGAGTTAAACTGTTTTTGAATTGGTTAACACTGAATAAGCGTCTGACAGGCCGCAGCCCAGCCCCTTTGTTCTGCTCCAGCTAAAGCCTCCACATTAGTATGAGCAGAGATGGGTAACTGATTGGCTGAGAGACTCAGCTGAACACTCTCAGACTATCACATTCATTGTTGGTATGATATGGTATGGCTAAGGCCTTAGCCAAAGCTCCTACAGCAGCCATCAGGGCTGCTGAGACCATCATTAATAGAGATTAAGTAACTTTAGTGTGTAGTGTCCCTTTGAAGGTGGCAAAACTAGACCAAGCCACTAAATGGCAGCCACACGTCTTAATAATACTACATTTTTATTTTATTTCTGACAGTCTTTTACTTATGTTTATTTAACACTTTTTATTTAGAAAAAGTAAAAAAATAAATTTTTAAGAAGACCATAACCAAAGTTTCAGATTAGCTTTTAACCAATGTTTGGATTTTTTTATTTTTTATTATAGATCCTTGTGATGGAAAACACACACTAATTTACACAAAATGAAATAGCTAGCTTTCAAAAGTTCAGATTACAGTATATCCCTCACAATATTCTAATGAAAGTATCCGTATTACTCAACTAAAACTTATCACTCAATTTTTATACATTACCCAAGGCAGAATGGTTTATATGCCAATTAATTACTGGTATATCCCAATTATCAGTAGTGCTGATTTAAACATTATTGTTCAGAATGCAGTCGTGTGTGTGTTATGAAAATGCTACAAACGTTATACTGAGAGCAGCTTATCTTCATTTCTAACCAACCTACTAACCTCAGAGGTTCTCTATTTACAGATATTGGTTTGTAGATTTTAGGGGATGGCAGAGTTCGGAAAAGACACACTATTTATTAATTAAGCTAAATGGAAAGACTGGCATCTAAACACAGTATAACTTGGTGAGCGATCTAAATAAACTTTGTAGAGTCACAGCTTTCACAATTTTTATACATGATATTGCTTATGGGGTAGCTTAGTGGAAGCATGAATTCAGCAGTTCACAGTAGCTATTGACTCCTTTTCCACAGCCCAACGTGCTACAAAACAAGCCTAGTTCCTAGACTATAGTTAATTTTTTTGTGAATACATAAGGCACAACAACTATTAACTCCACCCATAATGTCATAAATGTAATAAATAATCACCAGTTGGACAGAATTAGATTTTAATTCCCATTATTGTACCTCAAAAAATGTTAGACTGATTTTTTTACCTCCTCTATTTATGTCTGGAGAGCTGCTCTGCTGTCTCTTCTCCATCTGCTCACGGAACTGCTGCTGAAGCTGCTTCTGGCGCAGTTTGCGTTGGTACGTTGCATCCATCTCCAGATGGATGGATGATCCAGCTAGTGCAGGTCCAGAGCTGAAGACAAGCAATTACAATACCCACAGGTTATTTGAGAATATTTTATTAAAGAGAAATTCTGGGCACTATAACAAGTTAAAAGGCATTTGATCTTGGCCAGATTTATAGGCTGAATTTTTGGCAGCTAAAAATGAATAGTTTTTGCAAAAATTTAAATAAAAGATTAACATAATTCCTGCCTTCCTGTGCAGGTCTACTAAACAGTGATTTTAATAATCCATTTTTGTATGGTGAACCACACCGTGAAACGCTGTTTAGAAGACATATGCAGGGAGGGATTTGTAATTTTAACCAACATTTCAGCTGCAATGGGGAAACTGAAATGCCAGTTATCAACATGCATTCATGCCTTTACTTTTTTTATAGCTCCTCCTGGCCTTACCCAACCTGTCAGCTCTGACGATGAGTGTGTGTTGGGGGGAGTCTTTGTTCTCTATGTGGGTTGGACTTGTTCATTCGGAGGAGGGATGTGATGCAGAGCAAGATTTGTCAACATGGAGGAGTGGGGGCACACAGGGGAGCATATTTAGTAATAGAGGGGCATAAAAAAAAAAATAAAAAATAAAAATCAGATTTGTTACGGAGGAAGGAGAAGCTAGGAGCTAAATTTGTTATGTAGTGGGTAATCACTGCTAGAAAGGGTGATTCAGTAAATTGTGGAACTTACTAGGCTTACAGGAAGTTCTTCAGAAACTGCTGGGCTAAACTTATTATAGAATGCATAAAAACAGCTTTTAAACAAGGTTTTCTGAACAGTGTGTGGCGGAACCAACCTCGCCGCTGTGCACTGGAGAAGCCTGGTAGCTCGCCTGCTCCCTTTAGATTATGGCCCTGCAGTTCAGAACTGTTATTCTCCCTGCTGAAAGGTTTATTCGTGCCTTTCTGCCAGGGTGTTCGGTAGATTCCATCTACCGAACAAACTACCAAATGATGGACCACCTGGGAGCTGGAGTGTGCCGTCAATTGACCGCCCAGAAGCTGTGGTTAACCGCAGCTTAATTGATGAACACTGGGTGGCCTTTGTTCGTCTGTCGAACACGTGGCAGCAGCCATTTTACCTCCCGAACGACCAGCGGTGTTCAGCGCCCAAACTATGGAACTGAAAACGGACACTTATTGGCGCGAACACCGCTGAGCCGCCAGCCTCCTTACCTTCCCATTCGGTAAGCAGAACCGAGTTACTGTTCATTCGGTAGTTTCGCCGGATGAACAGCATCCCTCAGATAGCTAAGCCATGGAAAAACTATGGGAAAGACTTTGGCTCCATGGCGATTGAACTGTATGTATGTGATCTGAGCGCCATTCGGTAGTAATGTGCGCTCAGATCTAAGCTATCTGGGGATATGTAGAATGTATATGGTTTAGGTAATAAATGTGACTGTATGTAATTTTATGTCTTTTACTGTTTGTTTTCTGCCATGTGGTTAATGGAGTTTGGCCTCTGTCTTTGGAGATAATTGAATTACTTCTCAATTATCTCCAGAGCAGAGAGGAGGGATTGTGATGCATTGTGGGATGGTTGAAATGTGTAAGTCTGTGATTGGTCCTTTTACCCTTTGTGTCCCAGTCTCCTATTTGGTCCCTTAGGGGAGTGTCCACCAGGTGAGAGACCTGCATAAAAGCCGGGCAGTTAGCCCCAGTAAATCAGTTCCTGCTTAACCCTCAAAGTGAAGTGTCGTCTCATTATTGGGGGAGGATTTACTGTTTGCTGTTAGAGACTGATTGCCAGGAGTGTAAGCCGCTTGGGGGCTTTTCCTGTTCGTCTGCTAGCAGCTATTCATGTGTCTCCAGTTCGGGAGTTTGGAGTATTCCCTTGGTATGCAGTTCGGGAGTTTCGAGTATTCCCTTGGTATGCAGTTCGAGAGTTTCGAGTATTCCCTTGGTTGCAATTCAGGAGTTGGTGAATTCGTGGGTTTGCAGTTCAGGAGATTGGTGCTTGCAGTAGCTGTCGGTGCAGCTGAAAAAGGGGAATATCGCCTAAACGGTTTTTAACCTCTTTTGGGCAAAACGGTCCGTTACACAGTGCATTTACAAACGAACATAGGATAAAGATAACCAAAGAAATCAGATTTAGAATTATGAAAAGGACCGAAGACTTTGATTTTATCAAATTAAATTGAATGTGTGGTTTTCTGTACTATTGAAATATTTTCAATGAGCTTTAGCAATATCAGTTTTGTCCCTAATTGGCCTTAATTCATTATTTAAGAGCGTCAGCATACACACCGTCAAACGGATTCCAGAAACAAAGAGTTTCTCCCACTAGGATGAAAATGAATCACGCCTTCATACAACTTCCTTGTGGATTACCTTAATCAGTAGTGAGAAACTGTATCATCTGATCTTTAACCAAACATACCCTCCTATACTAGTGTTTTGTTCTGTGTTCTTGCTGGTGTGATCCTGTTGGTGCTGTTTGGTGGGTAATTTTTCACTCATCTCAGGAGTTTCCTTGTCAACTGGTTCTAGATGAAGTCTGTCTGGTGGTTTCGGTTTGATTAGATAGCCATTAAAACGTGCCTTTTCCAGCGAAGCGTCAAAATCTTGTCGCTTTGTCAGTGCAGGATCCAGTTCTGCTTGTGGCTGAAATAATAAATGAAAGATTTTTTTTTTTAAAGAACACGGTAGCACAATTTACTAATACACAGCATTGTTTTCTAGAAGCAAATATTGTTGATGTCTGTTTAAATTTAGGAAGAAACACACTATGGGTTAGATGTACCAACTAAAAAGTTAATGATCAAGCTTGTACTTGCTTTAACAAACAGGCTCCAGGAAGTGTCACAACATTTTCTGGAGATCTAATTACACATATGTAACAATCTGTGGTCCCCTGATAACAGTTCACAGCTTCACTTACCAACTTTGGTAATTTGTTAACAGCACGGAGATACTCTTTATCCATAATGCAATTCCCAAGAGCATTCCCAAAGCATCTATAGAGAAGGACAAAAGTAAATAGCTATATGCAAGATAAGAGTGCAAAGGTTATACGGCGGGGAAGGGGGGAAACTTAGGAACGAAACCCTAAAAATATTGTTGGACATAAGGTTTAGGGGCCTTGTGAAACTTGTTATACCGTGTCTCTTGATACGATTTGACCTGTATTGTAACCTTACTACATACAAATAAAGAATGTCAAAAAAGAGTGCAAAGGTTACTCCAAGCATCATAAGCACTATAGCCCAATGAGGAGTACCCTGGTCCAATTACCTGGTAAAGGGGCAAACCGCTTTGCCTTGGCATTCCGTCACCTGAGTCTTCGCTGGAAGCGGAGGGTATTCTTGTGGTCAGTGAGTACTTCCTGCTTCTGCACACCTGCAGAAGTCCACCCTGACAGCCTCTCGTTGGCTGAGAGCATCAACGGACAGATATCAGCCAATGAATGTACTTCTGTGTATACGTATATACACAGAGTTGACATTAACCGGTTAGAACTCTAGTTCTAGGCTGGCTAATGGCTCCCTATAACACCATGGGAGGGGGGGAGGGGGGGGGAGAGTTAACCTCCGTTTGAACAGCATTTCATAGTAAAACATTATACATACAACATCCATACAGAGCTCGGACTACAGAATTAAAAATTCAAGAGCAGGCGGCGCGCGAGGGAGCTGAAGAGGAAGCACTGAGGGGAAAGTGCTCCCTCGCGCGCCAGCAGCAGCACCACTGGACCCCAGGGAATTCCCCCAGCACCCCAAAAGGTTCTCCAGAAACTGGGCAAAGCAGATGAGACGAAAGATGTGCACTTCGAGCAATTTGTTCTCAACTTCAACAAGCAGCTGACAGAAGGAAGCAAACTACAGAAAGATTTAAGGACCTACCTGGCTTCGGTAAAAGCAATGCACGATGCTTTCAAGAAACTAACAGAGTGTCTGCAGGATGTCTACGAGCCGGAATGGCCAGGGAGAGACGATACAAACAAGATAGCCGAGAACAATGACCTGCTATGGACAGACTACCATCGGAAGCTGGTGGATCAGGCTCTTCTCACCATGGACACCTACCTTGGACAGTTCCCTGATATCAAGTCTCGTATCGCTAAACGGGGCAGAAAGCTGGTGGATTATGACAGCGCCAGACACCACTATGAATCACTACAAAATGCAAATAAGAAGGATGATGCCAAAATCGCAAAGCCTGTGTTGTTGCTTGAGAAGGCTGCCCCCCAGTGGTGCCAGGGAAAAATACAAGCCCATCTGGTTGCCCAAACTAATCTGCTCCGAAACCAGGCGGAGGAAGAGATGGTAAAAACCCAAAAAGTATTTGAAGAAATGAACAATGATTTGCAGGAGGAGTTGCCCTCCTTATGGAACAGTCGTGTTGGTTTCTACGTCAACACATTCCAGAGCATCGCTGGCATGGAGGAAAACTTCCATAAAGAAATGGGCAAGCTGCATCAAAACTTGAATGACGTGTTGGTGACATTGGATGAACATCAAGGAAAGCCTTCAGCCAAGGTCTTCACCCCAGTGAAAGCTCAGCCAAGTGACACCAGTTCCACAAAGGGGAACAGGACGCCATCCTCACCACCCGATGGACCTCCTCTTCCAGCCACAGAAAAGACTGTCAACCACCAGTCAGAGGAGGCGTTTGGTTCTCCTGCTGCCTCTGCGACAGGGACCTTTTTTGCTGATGCCCCATCTGTGACCATCTCCAAGTCACCTTCTCAGCCGGCAGAACCAATACCTGCAGCCAGAGCAGAACAACCGAAGAAAGATACGGAAAGCAAACCGGAACCAGCTGCACCTGAAAAAGACACTACTACGCAATCTCAGAGTTCACTCCCTGCTGTGGTTGTTGAAACATTCACTGCGACTGTCAATGGCACCGTGTAGAGCAGTCCCCCAAAGAAAGATATGCCCCCTGGATTCTTGTACAAAGTGAAGGCGCAACATGATTATGGTGCAACTGATAGCGATGAGTTAAACTTGAAATCTGGTGACGTGGTTCTTGTAACAGAGTTTGATAACCCTGAGGAACAGGACGAGGGTTGGTTAATGGGAATTAAGGAAAGTGACTGGCTGCAGAATAAGGAATTTGAGAAGCATAGAGGAGTCTTCACTGAGAACTTTACTGAGAAATATCTGTGAAGAGAGGCAGCCTGCGTTCCTGCTCTGGGATATACCGCAAATTTTCTGTGAAAATGATAAATAATGTCTACCCAACACACAAAAAAAGAAAAGAAATCATATAAGGACATTAACTGTGAAAGTGTCAATATAAAGGTTCAGCTCTGTTACAGAAAGCGAGGTTTAGTGTTGTAATAGATTTTACAATTCCAGGGGTTTGGTACATTGTAACTTCCGATAACAGCTCCTCGATTTGAGACATGGCTGCCTTTACCTTACGTCTGTTACATGAATGTTTTAATGTCAGGGGTGTCATGTTAGTTTATCCTGTAAAAAAACAAAAATGCCAACTATCAGGGCTTTCTAATAGAAGTCACGGGATGGTGCATTTGGAAAGGTATATTGATAATAAGGTAAGATAAATGGCTTTGGAGAAAATTGTAGAACACATTGCATGGATCGTAGCTGTCACAAATTATTAAGTGATATAGCATTTCGAGTTATTTAATCCTTTGTGTGTCAGAGGGCACAGCAACACATTGATGTGCAATGCTTTGCTCAACCCTTTGGCAGCAGGTGTGTGCCGAATCGGTGTTCATTCCAGGGCCATGACTTTGTAATGGTAAAGGGCAGTGTGATAACTATGGGAAAGATGGGACTGACTCAGAGAGAGACTTAATGCTGCAGCTCAGTAGGTAAAGAAACTAGGCATGACTTTTTTATGGGCACCATTTTGATGTCATCATGCTATTACACTGGGAAGTCATCAAGCTGTGGGCAAGTTACTTCAATGGTTGCTCTTTGGCCTCAGGATAAAAATAAATAAACAATGTTTTTTGCTAGTAAACATTCTTAAAGGAAGACTCTGGGTACAAAAACAACTTCATCTTGGTGAGGTTGTTTTGGTGTGGGGTGGTCCCCTGGCGCTGGCTTGCCTCAAGGGGTTAAACTGTTAACAAACGTCTTAACCCCAGAGTGCTAGATCCGATAGGTTTCTCAAGCCGTTTTGTGAATAGGGCGCTACTGATCACATCAGCTGACAGCGGCGCTCCTGTCCGAGGCGGACTCAAGCCTCAGTGGTGGACGGAGATGGCCAAGCGATCGGGTGACAGATTCTGCACTTTGGGGTTAAACGGTTTAACCTCATGAGGTGGGCTGGCGCCCGGTCGCCCCCGTCGCACTATGGCAACTTCATTCTGATAAAGTTATGGTGACTTGAGTGTCACTTTAAGGATTATTGTTGTAGTTGTACACCGTCATGTACAGCAGTATACCTTCAGCTTCTGTTACCTTTACATAGCAAAACAGCGTCCCTCTTGCACGTGTCATGTTCATTAAAACAGCATGCACAGAATTCATCGTTTCTAATGTATTCTCCTCCAGCGCTTACAAATTCTTGCCGTGTAAAGACCAACGACCTGGTCCTGGAAGTCTCACTATTTGATTTTTTTCCTAGCCTTACAAACAGTAACTAGTGCTATAGATCCGTCCAGCTTTGGTTTCCAATAATGGCTCTGGCTGCTGAAGTGTCCTCTTCCACCTCCATGATATTATAAATATGCCTTCCAGTCCCGTTCTGTTTGGAGCTTTCCAGCAGTTGGTCCTCCATCACTTTGGACATTTTTTTTTTGTGAGTTTCTTTTTTTTTGGTTTTGTTATTAATGTTTGGGTTTATTTTGGAGTCTGTGATGCCCTCTTGTGGCCAAAATGATAATGACAGAGAACGTGCTATATTATAAAATCATTAAAATAACCGGACTCTAATAAGTAAAAAAATAAAAATAAAAAAATTCAAGAGCAAATCTATCCGACATTGCTGTAACTTCTCAATTTACAATATACTAAATTGCTCCTCACTGCTCAGCTAAATCCCATAGCTAACTCTGAAGGGGCAATTGTAAGGAGCGGATGCAAATATTTTTTTTGTTTGAGGGGGAAGGGGTAATTAATATTGTGCAACATAAGATTATCTGGCAGTCTCTGGATACAAAATCTATGGAGGGCAGTAAGAAACAGATTTATGGTGACTATGCCTATTCTTACTTGAGTGCTCTCTTCAATCCATCAGTGACTGCTTCTTTCCGAGCTTTTTCCAATGATAGAGCTTTAGACTTCAGACCTTCACTGACACCATAACCTATATCTTCATGGTAGGAGCCATCCTGGATAGGATACAGTCAGATTATGTGATGATTAATAGAATTTAGCTTTTCATGCCATTCTATTTCCTGGTTATTCCTGACAAATTACTTTTCTGAACCCCTTAAAGAGCAATGACAGTCTACATAATCATAAAACAATGTATAACAACATTAAAGACACTGTAGGGTGCTTCAATTACACATACATACACTTACACGAACACTCACTGCTGTCAACAGTTTTTGTATAGGAGTCACTTTCAGTATGTGTGGAAAAAATATATAATTAAAGGAAGATTTAGGGTTAGGAACACAAACATGTATTCCTGAGTCTATAGTGTTAAAAACACTATCTAGTCCTACTGCCCTCATCCCCCCCTAAATGTAATAAATTAAATTACCTTTATTTCAGTATTCCGGTGCTGGCCCTGTCCCTGATCTGACTCCTTGGCTGACATCATCAGAAGTGTATATGAAAGCATTGAAATTGGCTGTGTTTGTCAATTCTGATGATCTCAGCTAAGGAGATGGGCCGGGAGTGGAGCCAAATGCCACCCTAGCCAATTAGCATCTTCCCATAGAGATGCATTGAATCAATGCAAATCTACGAGAAAAGTTCAGTGTCACGATACAGAGGGTGGAGATACTGAATGTCAGTGCTGCACAGTGTGCAGCATTTCCCCAGGAAGCTCCTCTAGTAGTGGAGGTGTCCCTAGGCTATACTGTAAATACTACATTTTCTCTGAAAATATACAGTGTTTACTGCAAAAAGCCTGTAGGGACAGACTATAATCACCAGAACAAATACATTAAGCTGTAGTTGTTCTGGTGACTATAGTGTCCCTTTAAAGATTATAGGGCAGTATGAATGATCACATACAAATCAAAATATGCCACACCAAGGACCCACTCACTGTCTAGAGCTTAACCAAGCACAGACAGTACCTATGCTTGGACACATATATTGTTGATTCTCGAGGTGAAAGACCCATGAGTGCTTTCCCTTTTAAGATTTAAGGGCCTGGACTGTCCAGTTTTGTGCTATACCTTGAAAAACTGATAAAGATCTAATCGGGGAATAGAAATAGTTACCAATTATTATTTTTTAATTTCCCATGTAGCCAGTCTCATCCCTTCAGGTGGACTAGAACACTGATCATTTAACCCAGCATGCATTGCTGCAGTACACCAACCAACCATTCTCAGATGTTAGTTTGTCCATGACTGTCCAACGGTTAAATACAACTTCAGTACTCAAGGTGGGTTGTGTGATAAATCGGCAAAGATAACATGCAATATAGCTCACCTTCAGCTGGACTTTGACAAATGCACACACCCCCACGTAAAATTTGCCATTACTCAGGTCCACAAAATCTGCCATGAGAAAAAAAAGAAGCAGTTACACAGATCGCATAATGCTCGCACAGACAACTCTCTACAGAATAGTGTTGGCACTCACCCACATTCTGCTGAGTTATGGAATGGGACCAACCATTGTATCCAAACATCTCATTGGCCAGACTGATCACCCTGTGCCCTTCTATGTAACACACCTGTGGGGGAGAAAACAAAAACCGAGCAAAGTAAATGTCCATGCTACTCACTAAAAAGTAAACGGTTAGAAAATCAAAGTAAATGTCAGATTTCAGGCCAAAAAAAACCCAAATGAAAATCTAGCAGATTGGTTATTTTGGGCCTAAAATTTGAAATTCACTTGGAATTCAAGAAAAGTTACACATTAGTGAAAAACCGTGATATGAAATATACAACTAGTATGAGGGGGAAAAAAAAAATAAGGACAAAGCCAATTGTACAAGTTCTAATCAAAACAAAACCTGGAATTTGCGCTATAGGTCTGTTCAATCATATTTTTTGCTTTCATATTAAGTGCACCCACACTTATTATATATAATTTTGTTCAGGAGAAATATTTATACATAAAATATCATTTAATATGGGGGCAGGGCCTGACTGCCATGCTGAGTGGCCGCATGTAAGAACAGCTCGGGAAATATCTCGACTTATCAGCCTACCAAAGCTAATCATCTACTCACCTAACGACTGGAAACTGTGGTCCTATACCCAAGGAAGTACTGGCCCCGACGTGAGGCTTGCACGAAGTGTTTGTCCCTTGGAGGGACATACTTCTTCCACCCAGATGAGGCTTATTTGGGCGGTGAGTCGAATGGATGGCCACTACCCTGCTATCCTGCCTGGGTGTGCCATGCTGGACTCCCGAAGCTTTATATACCTGTATACCCTGCAGCCCCCACCGCTACCACAACTCTGGAGCCCCACAGCACCATCGTTCTGCAACACAGACCTGGGGTCTCCCACAAAATGGCGGAAGCCGCGCACCCAACAGCCTGCTCCAGAGAGGACATTGATCTTCCCGCATCACAAGACACAAGCTTACCAAAGCTATAGCAGGGGAGGCTGAGGCACACCTACCAATCCCTCTGGGAGACGCTGGCAAACAGACAAATCGTAGACCCTTCGCTCCCGGCTGCCCTCACTCCTCAAGTGCTCACACTGCAGATGGGCCGGAGAGACGAGGCGCGAACATGCTCAGCCAGAAAGTGCCGGAGACTGTGGGTCCGGACGCCCTGCTGGGTTTGCTTTCTTTTTATTGCTGAACTCTCTGAACTTGTGTTTTGGAGGCAGAGACTACAGAACCCTCCATAGGACTGTTCGAGCACAGGAGTGTTAATCACAGGCTTACCCACCGGGCATAGTGGAGGCCCTTGAGAGAACTAAGCCCATTACAGACCTTCAAGTATCAAAATTTTTAATTTCCCATTTTTTCCCCCCCTCTTTTTCTTTTTTACTCCGAGACTTATCAATTGTTATTGTGCGTTTAGCACCTCATGCCCAATACTTTTGCTACATTGCCCTTTTTCTGAGACACGAGGAATGACCGGGAAGTACGAGTGACGAGTGAACGGGGGTAAGCAAGTGTGAAAGTGAGGACCACAGCATGTACAGGGGAGAGGGTAGATGACATACTTTAGACTTAAACTACACCGCATGTTGGTTCATATAACAGCTCTTGGAGGTTCAGATGACATTGCGTACCCATATATGTTACCTATTTAGCAGAGACTAACAGATACTCTATGGAGCAACACAGGCCTAGTGAATAAATTCTGTCTCCTTATTGAGCAGCTAAAGAGACGGATTATATATACAGAATGTTGCCAAAACACATAAAAGAGTCGTACGAATGGTATAGATTGGGACTTGTGAATATGAGTGGGTACATGACTAACTCAAGGATAGAGAGCAGTCTGATAACATATGGGGACCAGGCATTTGGGATAGTGAACGACCCCAGTACTGGGTGCTGAGATGCGTGACAGTAGGCGTTGACGAGGAAGAGAATGTATGAGGGGAAGAGAGGGGAGATGCATAACATGAATATATATTATATATCGTTTAAGGTTCTATAGCTGGGACAACAACGGTTATGTTATTTTGTGTGTCAAGTTTTGAAATATTCAGACACTGAATATTGCCTGAAAAATGTGACCATCTTGAAAATTGTTGACTTCATTGATATGCTGCCACATCCCAAATAAAGAATTAAAAAAAAAAAAAAATAGTATCTGATTATCATGACAACCTGGTGTAGAAGAAACCAGTGTGTGTGGATGTATTCCAAAAATAGCTGAAAATACAAATAGTAATCTGGTATCTATTTCATCTTCCATACCTGTGTACATCTCATACACCTTTTTGTCTGTGTTGAACAAACCGGACTTGGCTGGCAATAAGGGAATTGGATGTATGCAAGTACATTCATACTAATGTCTTTATTGATTCAAACATGACACTTTGAATATTATTTGATATGCATTGCATGAAAACTTGCCTTTTCTGTTCAAACATGTGTAACCCTAGCTGAGAAGATCTTAAACTGTTATGTTCTGCATATCAAATACACGTGTGCATTTGGATTGTAAAAAAAAAAAAAAAAAAAAAGTTGTTCCTGCAATCTTTGTAGGACCAAACCCAGGAAACCCGTCTAGGTTTTGTAAGAGTGACAACCACCAGAGGCTCTCAGAAAAAAAAAGTAGTGCTTACATAGCGGAGGCTGCAGGGACAGTCTCTATGGTGCATAACTACTGTATTAGGCGGTCGTGGTTATGGTGGTTACAGTGTCCCTTTAATGCAAATTTATCAGTTTTAACAGCTGTACAAAGTAGTAAGACATGGATTTAGGACAGGGTATTCAGTAGTTCTAACAATTTGTGATCTACAGTGTATTCAGAAAGTATATAAACCACATTTTTGTTTGTTTTTCAAATTTTTATGCCTAATGCTACAATTGTTTCAATTATTAGTTTTTTTCTCAGATCAGTCTACACTCAATACCCCATAATGACAAAGTTAAGATTACATTTTGACAGCATTGAAAATAAAAACAGAATTAACTGATATATCAAATTGAAATAAGGATTCCGACCCTTAACTCAGTACTTAGTTAACTTTTAACAGCTATTACAGCTGAAGACTTTCCGTGTATGAGGCAACAAGCTTGGCACAAATTTGGGTAGTTTCTTCCATTCTTCTCTGCAGATCGGATAGGGACAATCCAATTTGGGGTTTCTCCAGAGTTTAAGTCCAAGTCCCAGCTCTGGCTGGACCACTCAAGGACATTCACATATGTGCCACTTTTGCATTGTCTTGGTTGTGTGCTTAAGGAGATTGTCCTGTTGGAAGGTGAACCTTCAACCCAGAATGATGTCCTGAGCACTCTGGACCAGGATATCTCTGTATTTTGCTGCATTAAGCTTCCTTTCAACACTGATCAGTCTCCAAGTCCATGCTGCTAAAAAATACCACCAAAGCACGATGCTACCACCGCCACGCTACATTGCCCAGGTGATAAGCAGTTCCTGATTTCCTTCATACATGAAGTTTTTAATTAAGGCCAAACTATATTTCATAAGCTCTGAGTTTCTCACACACAGAGTACTTTAGATGCTTATTTGCAAAGTCCAAGCGTTCTTTCATGTACGTTGCAGTGCGGAGAGGTTTCAATCTCGCCAGTCTGTTATAGAGGTTAGATTGGTGGAGTGTTGCAGTGATGGTTATCCTTCCACACATTTCTCTCATCTCCATACACAATCTCTGGAGCTCACCCAGAATAACCATTGGTCAGTGTCCATTTATTTTAGTGCCACAAGTAAAAAAAATTAAAAAAAAAATATATATATGTGCAACATTTTGTCTGACAACACAGCCATTATCAACCTATGTTGTAGTGGTTAAGCTGCTTAGAGAGAGTGTTCCATTAATAACACGACATGTAGTAAACTGAATGAATCTCAGAGTTTAATTGGATACATTTCTGAGCCAACACAAAAATTATGAAAGCAGTGAGGCCTCCATTACCAAATTGTCTAATTTGTACAGCAGCCTGACAACTTAAAAATATGTATAGTAAACCTCTCACTCCCATCTTTTTTATAGATGGTGTTGGTCTGAATTTGCACAACTTTGTAAAGTAAAATGAATTCTTCCAAAAATAGACCCCTCTTACCTTTCCCTCTGTTCCATCATTTGTTCTTACCTAGTACAGAGAAACTAATTTCTCCCTTAGATCCATGGTCATTCCCTACCAGTGGACTGTACATATCCAAGAATATATGTTCAACTGTTGATTTAGATGATCACTCACTGCTTTAAAAAGCTGTCAGGATGCCATGTCCTACCTTCTGTCCTCCTCCTGCCTGTCTGCTGCTGATGTATTCAGGACCCAGCTTCTGACGCAGAGCATTCTGGACAGCTTGGTATTCTTCAGCAGTGTACTGATGCTGCAATAAAAGCATGATTCACATAAGAAGGCTGTATCTAACCCATCTTACAAGCACAAATCGATTTTCAAATTCCCCATACTTGATTAAAAACTGCAGCTTTTGCAGGGACTTGGAAGTGTTCACCCAACAAATCCTAAATCCCCTACTGCTTTCAGTGGCAACATTATGTGTATCCAGTAACCAATGTTCAGTTGGGTTTTATCCAATATTCAGCACTTGTGAATAGCTTCATTCATGAAAGACAAATTAGGTCTTAAGTTATGCTTATGCATTTCTGCTCATCTAAACAGGCTTGACCATGCACAATATCCACATCACAAGGAATAGGAGTGGAAGCCCTTGGGAAAGGAGATGTAGGAAATGTCAGTACAAGAGCTCTATGTTATTGGCCAACTTGATAATGTATATATCTTGGTGTATTATCAGAAAATGGCAAGTCCACAATCTGTATTGCTTTATCATGTAGCAGGCGGGTTACATAATATAAAGGGATTCTATAGTTTAAAGAATACAAACCTGTATTCCTAACACTATAGTTCCGTTTGCCGTAGGATGAAGGACCTACTAACTTTCTCTTTGGATTAAAATAAAGGAATATATACAGTGATAGGAGCGGATGAGTGTGGTGGCACAAGATGCTACAGACCACCTGAGTGGAAACCCCTTACACCACTCTATAAAATACAAAACGTACAATACAGTAGGTGGATCACACGTCTTGATGTATCTAAAAAAAAGACACAAAATAATATAGTGCAATATTGCCAGTATATATAATATGTAGATGATATGGAAATCAGGTACTCACTTGCACAAAATGCACTTTCTTTCCCTTCTATTCCCCCCTTTTTTTTCCACTACACTTAGTTTTTTAAAGTTATTTTATACATGATTTTCATATAAAAAATAAAGTTTTTAAGATCATGCCATTACTGTTATAACACATTCCGTCACTTTAAATATCCCCTCTTCAGAAAAAGGTTAGCTTAATGATTTGGATTATTCATTCTACTATCTACCGAGACTTAAATGAGAAATAGCACTCACTATTAGAAAGATATCTTGAGAGACCACAGATCTCTGGATTTTTCTTAACCTTATTGTAAATTGTAAAATAAAGTTCTAACAGCTGAAATACAACTTTAAGTATATGAGCCCTCATTATTAGAAAGATATCTCACTTTGCTCTTAAGAAACCATAAATGGAATGATGTTTATTGTTGACATGCTCCCAAGAAATCACAAATGATATGTATTTATTAAAATGATGTTTATTTAAAAAAAATAAAAAAAAATTCTTATTATTAATATAATATTAATGATTACTGTCTATGTAGACTTATGTTGACCTACTGTTCATTACTCTGAATTTAGAACATAAGAGATGAGTCTAACTGTCCCCTAAACCATTCATGGGGTTATAATACTTTTTTGTCCCCTAAACCATTGATGGGGTTAAAATATTTGTAAAGATTGAAATCGCCGCCAGTGATCTCTAAACTACGGAAAAAAAGTCGGCACAAGCAACGCAACCCGGAAATGGAACGCATGGCGCCTGAATTGGAACGCAGAGTGCGTTCCAACGTGCGACAGCCGAACACGGAAGTATACACACTGGGGGATTTAAAAGGACGCCGAGCAGCACACAGACACTTTCTACCGACTGAAGAAGCCCCTGGTACGGGGCAAGACGCGTTTCGGACACCTTTGGACATTATAGCAAATTGGCAGGACTCTATAGTACTGATTGAGCCCCACTATTTGATTTTATTTATTGGAGCTGATTTTATTGGTTTTTAGTAGTTGATTTTTGCGCTATTCTTTAACTCCAAATCTGGATCAATAAAGTTCTCTTTTGAAAGAATACCTAGCCTGTGCAATTCTACCTCATTCATCTGGAGAAAAATACAAGGTCACCTGGGAAAAGGGACAGGGACATCCTGATGAAAAGTACCACTGCGCTACTCATGAAAGCCATATGTTACAATTTGGCTCCAGGCTTGTGAGTACCTGATTTCCATATCATCTACATATTATATATACTGGCAATATCGCACTATGTTATTTAGTGTCTCTCTCTTTGGATTGCCTAGCTGAGGAAGCCCAGATTGTGGAGAAATGCATCCTTGGCAACAGAGAACGTTATATATTGATTTACTTTTTATATTCCTTACATTTATTGTTATAGTTAATAAATTTTAATTTGATACCTTCGTTCCTGCTTTTAAAAAGAAGGTAGTGTGGCCCTATAGCCACACACTGCGCTGCCTATAGAGCCTGGAATTGGCTCCACTTTTGTGAGTATCCACTTGTCTTACTATTGGAAGATACCTACCTATACTGTAGTACCCTATGTCCATATCTCTCTTGAGATCACATCTAGGAACCCCTACATAAAGAAGGGAAGGATCGCCTCCACAGACCCAAACACTCTTCCCACTAGAGCCAAGTGCATATAGCTCTAAAAAGTGTGAGTGTGCATTTGTCTTATGCTCCTTTACAATATTTACTCATACAGTTATATACTGTTGTTGCTATTTTAGATCATAAGGTACCTAAATTCTCCCCATTCTGAGGTTTATGTATAAAAAGATACTTTGACAAGTCAGTGTCTCAGTAGTCTAATAATTAAAGGCTTACTATAAAAAGCTGCCTCTGCTTACACCTTATATTCTTCTAGTCTAGAACAAATCAGTAACGTAGGGAATATGACTAAAAATAAACTTTTTTTTTTGTTAGTGAATAGCAAAATCAATTGCAGAGTGTTACCAAGCATATCCAGAGACAGCCATTAAAATAAAATAGTAGGCACCAAAACAACTTTTGCTTGTTAAAGCAGTTTTGGTGTATAGACCTTGTTCATGCAGTCTATCTCAATTCTCTGCCATACACAAGTGAAATCACTTGTTTCTGTACCATAGCCACACCTCCCCTGGCTATGACTAACAACCTTCATTAAAAAAATTAGAATAAGTTTTGATCTCCTGCTCTGTTAATTAATCTTTAATCACACAAAGAAGGCACTTGCAAGCTCTAGTCGGTTACAAACTTTAAGAGATAATACATTCTAAATTAAGCACATTAAGCTATTAGGGAAACTAAACTTTTGTTCCAATAAGTCTGTACAGAGATTGTGTGACTCTAAACCAGGGCAGTTGTGCCTAGGGCTACATAAACAAACTGATTTCTAAAATGGCAGAGAATTGAGTCTTCAAGGGCATGAACTGTACACCAAAACTGCTTCATTAACCTAAAGATGTTTTGGTGCTTAGCGTATCCCTTTAAGGAGTCAGGTTGCATCCCTTGGACACAGGTGGTACATAATGTAAAAAAAAAGGCAGCACAGGAGACTTAGTCCAAGGAAAATGCAATCTCCAATTTAGGAAACATACCGGATTTGGAGAAATGATAGCCACCAGTGAAATTTTAGCCTTAAATTTTGCAATTTGCGTGTTTATTCAATAACATTTTGAGTTAAGTGAATAACCCTCTGTGGTGGAAAGTGCATTATGAAAAGCTTTATCTAATGTTATAATAAATGTGGGGGAGATATTGTGTGGGTGTTTACTTTGGATTAAGTTTTGGTGGGTGGGGCAGTATCTTGCTCTTGGGCCTAGGCAGCACAATGTCTAGGCAAGCCCTGGGCATAACTATCTATAAACATTTTATACACGCAAACACTCTGCAAGCTTCTTCCACTCACCTGTCCAAAATGTACTGCCCCATTTCCTGCCTGGACCGATTTAATCTGGTCTCCTCCTCCAGTAGGCCGATTTGCAGACATATTGTCTTATTCTCTACTAAAATGTATTAAAAAAATATATATGTATTGTAATTATAAACACAATTGTTTGTTCTTGATTAAGAGATGGTTATTTAAACACATAAAAAATATCTGAATCTAGTTTTCACACTATGCAATCATAACTGGGAGAACTGGTCTATGTTTCTTAATCTGAGAAAGTTTTAACAATATGCAGCTTATTTTGCAATATCTGCTGGTAAAGATAGAGTGCTCTTGAACAACAGAGAGAGTAACATACAGATCTGATATCTAGCCTATAAACTCAGTAGGCCCTTTAAAGGAACATTATAGTGATAGAAATACAAACATGTATCAATAGCTGTGAAAACCACCTAGTTTATCACCAAGCCTACGAGTCAGCTAAGTGAAAGTGATTTCACCCACCTTCATTCCAGCGCCGCTCTGGTCTATTTTTGTGTCTAGCCTCGCTCCACCTCCTTAGCGGAGATCAAACATGTGGGAAAACCATTGGGAGGATAATGCACAACACGCCACACTGTGCCAATCAGTATATCTCTTTGGGGAACTTCAGCTCCTCCATCCACAGTGTGGAGACGCTGAACATAAGTGCTGGACATAGGTGTTACTAGGCAGTAATGAAAAGGCAATGTTTACATTAAAAAGCCTGAAGGGACATACTATACACCAAAACAACTACATTAAGTTGTAGTTGTCCTTGTGACTATAGTGTCCTTGTAATCCTTTTTAATTAATCACCTTTTTTTACTATTGGGTCTAACACACGTAAAACCCTGTCATAACAACATTAGTTCACCTGGAATCCAGCACTGGGTGCAGCTCCCCAGACTGGTTTCCATGTGAACTCTGTCATCGCAGTAGTCACAAGGTGCAATTAAATGCTTCCCAAAAAGCATTCCCAGAAGCATTTGAATGGACCGTTCTCACCAGCAGAGAGCGCGTGCACTTGTTCTGAGCTGGTAGGGGGAGGGAGTAGTCAGAGAGGGAGGGAAGAAATATATATTTTTTTAAAATCCCATTAAGGTTAGAGAGGTTGGGGCAGCAGGGGAACGTAAATGAAAGAAGAAACAAGCTCATTACATCTATTGCCTGTGCACACTGACAAGACTTAATTTTGTAATTAATTTGCACAGAACACATATCCACTGCTAAACAAAACTAAATAAAAAGAACCAAAAATAAATTCACATATCAGTCCTGATTGTCAAATGTCTAATACACCTAGGACCTAAATTCATTTCTGGTAGTAAGGACTCTCAATGCTATACCAACCATACTGCATATTTTATGCTAACACCAACTTTATATGCGGACACCAATTTTATGCTGACACCAACACTAACCATATACCCACCCTAACTTTACCCTTAATACTACACTATCCCTAACCCTTAAACAGCGTTAACACAAACCTTACCCTACCCTTAACCCCTTAAGGACCAAACTTCTGGAATAAAAGGGAATCATGACATGTCACACATGGCATGTGTCCTTAAGGGGTTAAGGAAGCCCTCTGTTAATATCAGTATTAATATAAGTAGATGGGTTTTTTTCTAGTTAAAACAGCAGAGTGTGGTATCTGGCCGCCATCTACTGGCTTTTTTTCCCAGTGTTACAGGAACATTTTCGTGTATTACTGAGAAAAGCATGTTTTTTTCCAGCTGATTACACTGTGATCAGTGCTGAGCTGCTGGTAAAGCCCAACACTGACCACTATCGGCCATAGAATCATTGCAGCTGAGCACAATCCGTAAGCAATACAATAAGTAGTGTTCTCAAAGGATTTAAAGAGCCGTATGGGTACCCCAGCCTATGGGTATTTAAATGCCCATCTAGAGAGCTGCATACAGCTCACCTGTCAGTCTGGGGCCTATAAAAAGGCCCCAGCTGACAGAGGGGAGCCCAAGTTTCAACTGATACCTGGGACTCCCTGGTGTGAGCAGGGATATAACACTGCTCACATCAAAACTGCAGGACATTCCATGCTGTTCTAACAGTGTTAAAGGACCACTCTAGGCACCCAGACCACTCCAGCTTAATGAAGTGGTCTGGGTGCCAGGTCCTTCTAGGGTTAACCCATTTTTTCATAATTATAACAGTTTCAGAGAAACTGCTATAATTATGAATGGGTTAAGCCTTCCCCCTAATCCTCTAGTGGCTGTCTCATTGACAGCCACTAGAGGCGCTTGCGTGCTTCTCACTGTGATTTTCACAGTGAGAGCACGCAAGCGTCCATAGGAAAGCATTGTAAATGCACTATAGTGGTCCTTTAAAGCTCACTCTGTTGAGGACAGCATGGTATGTCCTAATATTGGGAAGAGGTTAAGCTTCTAATTTCAGTCACAGGTGGATCAGACAAGAAACAGAGACAATGATTGTTTGCTCCACCTGTGGCATGTGAGCATATAAAGAAACCTACAATGTTAGTGGGACAAAGAAAAGATATGGGGAAGAGTATTCTACATTTTCCAACGCCAAAAATAAACTACAAATTAATAAGTCAGGTTACATTTATACAAGCATAATAGAAATGTAGACACAAATCAGGTTGGTAAATATCTAACTTCTAAAGGTTTGTGTTACCTGTTGTAATCATTTTGGCATTCATTTTGCATGTTTTTTTTTTTTTTTTGTCTGGATTTATTCTTATTGTATTTTGTTCAATTCGGTGAAAAGGGAAACATATCTATACTTTATATTTATATAACTGGGCATGTAGAAATATAAAGTGTCTTTAACATTACTAAACAACAAATTACATAAGACAGAATATTAAAATGCAAAATTTAGCAAACCAAATAGCCCAGCTGTGATCACTGGAGAATATTTCAAAATCAAATATTTTGCCTAAAGTTCTGCAATTGGTATATGGAATTTAGTGAATGGTGCTATTACAGAATCCTCTTTCCTGTCATTATGCTAATATTTTCAAGTTCTGTTAGCATAACACACACATTTTAATAAAACAAAGAACAAGGAAAGATCCTGCAAAAAAATATATATGTATCTCACAGGGCAACAGACCAAATCTGTTTACAAAATGTACTCACAAGGGAGTAGTAATTAAAAGCCTATTGCCATATCCATGTACACTAGAGTTGGCACTTTTCATGTATGCATAAACGGTCTTCAGTTTATGTATTTATGAAAAGTGCTGCTTCCAGTGTACATGGAGATGATGATAGGCCTTTAATTTCCCCTTCCTTGTGAGTGTAATGTTGTAGGCAGGTTTCATCTGTTTGAGTGTGTATTGTCCTATGAGTTATTTATATTTTTGCAGTATCTATCCTTGTTCTTTGTGACATTGTGCAAGGGTTCAGATAAGTCCTGGGTAATACAGCTTTTCTGGAAGAATATATAAACTCCCTTTGATGTAATTTTGCGTTTCACTTTAGTTTGTATTTACACATTGTTTGGCGTTATAAATTTTAATAAAAACCTTACTAAATATAATTAAAGGGTGTGTTATCAGGAATGAACTCTTTATTGTTCTCTTAAATGCAAACCCATCGTATGGTTTACATGCAAAAACTGACTACTGGATATGGAAGGCAAGAAAAGGCACACACAGCCACATGGCATTACCTAAATACATACAGGCAAAGGCTATACCGTTCACAATACCAGTAATAAATAGTAATCTGCCTTATGTCACAGATACTACATGACTAGAACATGGAGGACCAAAGTGTCTGATCCCAGGCTGTTGCAAACAACAAATCACATGTCAACCTTAATGCTGTTAGAGCATCATGGGAGTTACAGTTCTGCAACAGCAGGTGATCTGGCTGTGGTCACCCGTGGTGTGCCGGACTCAGCCTGTAAAGCTGTATTAGGACAGGTCACATTATAGCAGCACGGTGTACCATGCTACAGAATTCATGGCTCACCTCCCTCTGCTCAGACGCCTATTGATGACGTATGACTCCCAGCATTCTATCCATAATTCCCGCCTCCATGCAGTAACCAATCAGAGGATCTGTTCACAAAGCATGCCGGGAAGGAGGTCTTGCTTCCCCCTAGATAGGGAGCGCTAGGTGTCCAGCGTCTGTGTTACATCCCCGGGTCCCAGCCCGCTACTAATCGGGGCGCTATAAAGTTATATGCGCTCAATGTGTGGATACGGTATTGGCGGTGTCCCATCACAAACTGTCCGCCATGTTCGTACACCCAAATCACAGCCTGCGCTAATAGCAGTTATTGTGACAGCTTGTCGAACACCAAATGTTAGATCAGGAAAGGTAGGAAGACGTCACCAACTCCACCTCTCTTCTAGATTAGTAGTAAGGGACATTCCTGGATTGCAAGACCAAGGCAACACAAAATGTCAACTGCTCAGTTAACTTTCTAAATAAAAAATAATAATAATAATAGGGAATGAAAATCCAAATGGCAAAATGTAAGTTGTGTAAACTTGTTTGAACAGGGCCTTCGTCACTTCTTGCCTCTGTTGATATTTTGTATGTGGTTATTGTTGTCCATTATCACCGTTCTATGATTGTGAAGCACTGCTGAATATGTTAGCGCTATATAAATAATAATGCTGTGAGTAGGTCGCAGGCTTAACTTAAAGGGACACTCCAGGCACCCAGACCGCTTCTGCCCATTGGAGTGTTCTGGGTGCCAACAACCACTACCCTTAACCCTGCAATTGTAAATATTGCAGTTTTCATAAACTGCAATAATTACCTTGCAGGGTTAACTCCTGCTCTAGTGGCTGTCTACTAGACGGCACTTCCGTGTCTCTAGCACAGATTTTCTGTGCGATAGCATCGCTGGACGTCTTCACGCTATGTGAGGATCTCCACCGTCGCTGAAATCCCCATAGGGAAGCATTGAAAGCATGGGCAAAAAAGCTTTAAAAAAATAATTTACCAAATAATAAAGTTACAGATAAGAAAACAGTGTCACAGATTTTAGGCAACCTTCAGCACTCCAGATGTTATGGATGACATCTCTCTTAATGCTCTTACAGTCAAAATGCTGGCAAAGCATCAAGGGAAATGTAGTTTGCAACATCTGTGGTGCCAAAGGTCGCCTACCCCTGCAAATCTATGCTCTTCTTATGTGTTGCCGCCACCAGGGGTTGACAACCATGATGGTTGTCACAGGCCCGGCGGCCCAAGCCCCACATGTAGAGGCGGAACTGCTAAATCTTTAGTGCTGCGGCCGTGTAATAGCGCAACAGGGCCCCTTTAAAAATGTCAGCTGCACCGCAAGTGCTGCTGGGTGGAAGTGACGGCCGGTCCCTTCCTCCCAGCTTACTCCGCGCAGGAGAGGAGGCAGAGTGGAGACTGCGAGGAAGGGAGAGGCAGCTGACTCCTATCAGCCCCAGCCACCCTCCTGCACTGAAAATGTAAGAAACAGAAGGGTTGCTGGAAAATTATATGTATGTGTGTGTGAGTATGTTAGTATGTATGTATATATGTATTTATATGTATGTCATTGTGTATGTATAAGTATGTCTGTATGTATGTAATTCAGTATGTATGCCTTTGGTGTGTATCTGTGTCGTTTTGCATCAGTGCGTGTGTTTGTCTTTGTATGTATTCCTGTGGGCGGGATTAGGAGGCGGGTCCTGGGGGGCGGGCTAGGAGGTGGACCCAAAGGGGGCCCAGACCTTGAGCTGTGTTAGAGGCCCCAAAATTTCTGATGGCGGCCCTGGCCGCAAATATTGCAAATGTATGTATATTATATATGTTGCCACTTTATCTTTGCATTGCTCATACCATACCACCCTCACATTGGAGCCATAGACACACACACTAATACACACATATAAACACTGTTAAACGTACACATACAGACACTAATAAACAAACATATATACACTGTTATGGATGTAAATTAGAATTAGTAAAATGCCTATTTACTCATGCATACTCATATTCAATATTTACTCAAAATGGCTACTAGAGGCAACCCATCCCATCGACTAATTACCTTGTGTAACAAGATGGCACTGGAATCCGGAGTAAAATCCTGTGATGACAGTGACATCACGCCTTGTAGGATGTACATTAGATAAAACACTTAACACCTAACCAATTATTGATGTATTTTCTCTGTTATCTATAATTTTGCATATGATGTATTCTTGCTTTATAAGGGGCATGCCGGCTCCCTGAATAAACATTCCTGAAGTTCTTTCATCAACCAGAAACATGTGTCCAGTGTGAATTTACTTTAGAAGCGTGCAAGCATTAAATATCAATAATTTGGCTAGGGGCAGATACTCAAATCATCAAACACTTGGTTTGGTACACAACATTTGGCGCCCAACGTGGGGCATCGAGCTATGTCCCAACGGACAGCCGTCCTCAAAGACACCGGAGTGTGAATGTATTTTGCATGAGAGGAAGGAATTTTGCATTTGTGTTTTTATTAGCTTTTACTGTCCAGTGAGAGACAGGGTATGCAGTTTTATTAGCTTTTACTGTCCGGTGAGAGACAGGGTACGCAGATTTTATTATTGTTATGCAGAATTCATTATTAACCTTTGTTGTAGTGTGGTGGTTGCTTAGTTGGGATTTCATTATTTGTGACGTTATTGCATCTGCGTGCGTGGCGTGGTTTATCCTTGATTAGTGTTTGTGTGCACATATTTTTGTTTGTGATTCTTGTAAGTGCTTTCTCATTGGCATTTTCACTTTCTCTTCCTCCTTTTCTCTTGTACCCTTTGTCCAGAGAAGTGTTAGTCACGCACTACTCACCTCGCTCCAATTCGTGGCCACCTCGGGTGGGCAGACTTAGTGAGTAAGGTGAAGAAGGTTGCTAAAATATGTGGCATTACTATGTCTCCAAGCGGGCGATTACAGCCAGAGAGTTGGAGAAAATTGTTGAAAGACAAGGAAGGATTATTACTTGATAATGGGTTAATGAAGGCAGCAGAAGCTTGGTATCGAGTAGCCAAAAGGGATTAAGCGAGAGGGGTGGATAGAGGAAGGACAGAAAGTTTATGTGTATCATGAAAATGTGTGTACTGTTGAATCCACTGCAATTGTGTTCCAGCCACCGCCCTAATGTATGATGGCGCCTGGCACAAAAAGAAGGGGGCTAGTCCAACACCCATAACCCCTGCCCTACATGCCAGCTCCTATTAACGCAGCCCTTCCAGTCCCCGCCCCCTTATATCCCGTCCTCGGAGCAGACGGATCTTACTATTATCCTGCCCCCATTTTACCTTCCCTATCCCAGTCACGCCTCCCCTCCCCGTCTGACATACCATCCCCTGGTTTGCCCACTTCCTATCCGCCTGTCACTCCTAGCCTTCCTCCACCCCCATTTCCGGTTAGTGCTAACCCCCCATCCCCTTTCCCTGTCATTTCCATGCTGGTCGCTCCCCTCCCCAATCCTGTCACTTCCGCCCTTACCACATCGCCCCATCCACTCCTACCTTTGTCGTCAATTCCCCTCCCTGCATCCCTCTGGTCACTTCCTCTCCCACCTCTACATCCGTTTCTGTCCCCGCTCCTGTCATGGCTGCCCCCAGTGGGTCTCTCCCTTTTATGACGGTTGGCTCAGGAGAATCCGTAGCCTCATCTCTTTCCCCAAGCCTCCCACAAGTCACCGTCCCAAGTCCAACCAGCCCTTTTTACACAAGCTATCGTTGCCAGCACAGAGCAAGCTCCGGATTCCTCTGATACAGTTTGCTTCCACGCACCACGGAACCCAGTGTCCCCTGATGGTAGCAGTGTACATGGGGAAAGCCCACCACAGCCCCTGGCAAATAATGTTCCACGAGCACCTCCGGCCGACCCCCAAGCTGCCCAACTTACCACGGATCAAAGACCACAATAAATGTCATCCCAAGGTTTACAAAAAAACTACTCTTAACATATATTAACACACATCAAACACCAACTCATGCTTTTTGGCATGACACCTCCCCCTTAAGATGGTGGACAGAAAAATTCAGCCACAGGCTGATTTATCTGTTTACCATTAACCCTCTACATCCCCCTGCAGAGACAGACCATCTGCATTCCCATGCAAGCTGCCCTTTTTGTGCTGGGCAATGAAATTATACTGTTGGAGGATAAGGCTCCAACGGAGCAGTTTATCATTGTTACCTGACACCTGCAGCAGGTTGTGATCAGTCCATACTACAGCTACATCCTCAACATGCCTGATTTGCCTGTTTCAATTTCCCATCGATCTCTGGTAACATCCCTTAAGCCACACCCACTGCGCTCATATAGTAGTTGTAAGGGGAAGAAACCAATGGATTTTTGCAGCACTCCCCGGTAAGCACACAAAAAAGCAGACAGAGAACACTCCCAGGATAGATGTGCTGTATCAACACCCATCATCTCTTTCATTTTGGGGTCTGTCTGCTGGGCTTGTTGCACTATCAGACTCTGAACCTTTGATTCACAATCAGAAAGTTGCTTAGGTGTATGCGTGAGTTGTGATAAACTGACAAGGTTCCTGGTTCCTCCAACAGTATGTTTCCCTGCAGCCATCCTTCCTGGACCCACAGGCTGAGTCTGTCCGTGCTCCTCCCTTTCACTCCAGATCATCACACATACAGAACTTTGGAAACTGGCTAAGTCTGGCGCAGAGTAAAGCTCACACACCATCTGCCCTCCCTCATAGCCTTGCTGTCCCTTCACATTTTCACCCAGCGCATCACATACATCTGCTTCAGGCACATATTGGTACATATATTCATTCAGCCCCCTCTCGCTGGAAGGCTTTTCCCATACATTTTCACAGGATACATTTGACCCCCCTTGATCAGATACAGAATTTTGTACACACTCACATAATTTCTTCTCCAAGGCAGGCCATCCTCTCACAATCTCACATAGCCCCTCAGACTCTCCTGCTGCAGCCCTGACCCACTGCGACTAGTGGTACACATCCCTGGCTCTCACCTTCCTCCTCCCCCTTATTCTCTGACATCCCAGCCTCACAGTAGTTTGATACAGGCACATCACTACTCACCCCTATCTCACATTTGGTAGACATCACTGGTTCAGTTACAGGTATATATTTACCCACACCCTGCTCTCCCTCCCAGCAATCACAGTTCACAATGTCTCCCAAAGTTTCACACAATACCTTTGGTGGAGCAGTCAGCCCTTCTGGCTCACAAACAGCGTCCTCTGGAGCATAGTGACAGAGCATCCTGCCCAAATCATTCCCCAACAGAACATTAACAGGGATATCCTCCGAAATCCCCACTTCCCGCAAACCTTTGCCCACACCCCAATCAAGGTACACACGTGCCAA